AAAATAAACCAACCTACTTATCAAGGGCCTGCATAAGTCTACTATCTAGCATTTCTGTACTCTAAATTAGAGAAAACTTTATACTGGAGTCACTTTAGTGTTTGGCAAGTTGGAAACACAATACAAAACATGTAAATGAAAAGCAGGACATCTTAAAAATAACCCATGCAATAGGCTGCTAGAGCTTTTGCTTTTAAATTAGAGCAGGCTAGTTCCTTGTACTAGCAGAAAATAAATCACACTGAGCTATCAATAAAGAGAAATCTCTCCTTCTCTCTCTCAAACATCCCCAAGCCTCAGATAGAACTGTACTCACACTTTCATTGATTCGGGGCCAATATTTTTATGTAATTGCCTAACACAAATACTTTGTTCTATCTGATGTGATTTTGGAAAAGACACAATGTCCAAATGTGGCAAGACAGAAAAATATCAGCCTTTTACGTAAGTTACAGATATGCACACACCTTGAACTTCTGTCTCTTTCATTTCCTTGAAGCTTGCCTCCTCAGGTAATCCCTTGCCTCTTCCTGCTGGGGTTCCTACTTACTAAAGGTACTTGTTTGAACCAGATCTTTTCTTCTTTTGGCTGCTGGGCTCCTTACTGCAGTGGCATCCCTTTTGTCAAACAGAAAAGGAGCTACCAGAAACAAAAATCTGTTACAGAGCATGAGGTTGCAAACCCACTGCATTGCTTCTAAACAAGGCAGCCATGTCTTTTGATCCACATTCCCATTCGTTGCTGCATAACTGTAAATGTAACATCAACTCTGTCAATTGTTATAGATGCAAACTGAGCTGGAGAGTAAACTCAAGTCTGAAATCAAACTAATCACAGCTATGCTGGGTAGGCAGGTCTGCCTGGTAGTTTGTATATTGGCCTTAAACCAGTTAAAAGAATAATAGTATATATTCTCAGGCTAGAAGTATACACTTATATATATATATATATCCATTTAGCTATTTTTAAATAGCAGAACCAAAAATCTGTCAACAGATTATTCTTTTCCGTATCTGTTCATAGTACTTCACAGTACAAAACAACTTTTTCTTATACTAAAAGGTAAGACATTTGTGATGATCTTTGAAATAATAACTCATATGCTAGCCTATTTTTCTTGAGGTTATCATTCTGAATATTTTCTATGTGGAGAAACAATAGGCAAATTTGTACTTCTCAATAGCTGTACAACGTACTGGGAGAAAATGAACACATTTTATTTGGCTTTGTCTATTTGTTTCTTTGTGGTGTGCAGCAGGAAACCCTGGAATATATTACTTAGATCTTTCAATGCAAGTCCTTAAACTCACTAGAGGAGCATTACAAAAGATATTCCCAATAGTTCTAAATCCATGTTTGCACCACGTACAGCAAATCCAATACAGTAAGTAAGTTACTAAATATAATGAACTTCAGAGGCTTGCCAAGCCCTTTGTGCTCCGTGTTTGGCAGGCATGTTTTGTCCTTGCTTGCTGCTATGGACCTTAGAGTGTTTATTGATCTCAGTTTGTCACCCTGAGGTCAAATTACAGCTACGTGGAGCTGCACCTTCAAGCCTACTCTGAGATTATAGCTAAGGCAATGCAGCAGGACACAGTCTGTGTCTCTGAGCTGTGTTTTCCATGAAGATCTCAGAAACTCCACAGTTCTGACTAACAGCTGGCAAACTTCCAGATGAAGCTCAAGCTATTCTTTAAATTAGCCGCTACAGGGCTACTGCTCTCCACAGGTGTTTCTGTTACAATCACATGATATTCAGCCTGGCAGCAGCCTTCCATTAAAGTGTTTTGGGACTGGACACCAGGCAGGTTGGTCCTTTCCTTGCTGATTCAACAACAACTAGATCTAGAGAAAGGCAGATCTCTAAAAGTCATTTACTCTCTTAAGTAGGCTGCTGAGAGCAAAATCAAATTAGAAACAGGAAGGTTTTTTCCTAAGATATCTTTGTTTTATGATGGATATGTTTTTAAAGGTAAGTTTTAAAAACTTGAGCAGGGAACTGTCTAAGGTACAGGGATAAGAAAATAAATATACCCTCAAGTAGACTTGATCTAGTGTCCCTTGAGGGCAGTGTCTATAATTTCGCTAATAACAAGAACTTCTGTATTTCCCTGTACCTATCTAATTTCAAAACCAATAGAAGGAAATATTCTTGCCTAAAATATGCAATCAGACTTGCAAAATGCAAAGCATCTGCTAGTTCCTTTGAGCTGGAAAGACCACCAGAAATATCCATGTTTGCAGTTGTCTATGACTTTAGGAGTTACTAGACATAAATGGGGTTTTGTGCTTTTGTAGAGTCCTGAGAAATATCTAAAAATATAATAATCCATGCCAACGTCAGCTGTAGAAGTGAACATATTTCTTGTTCAGAACTTCCTTATGCAGGATTTGACCTGTATGCATAGAAGGGACCAGAAGGAGACCTGTCCAGAGTCCTCGATGGTCTTAATGTATCTGCCTCGCACTCTGCTTTTCTCCTGTTGCTCTGAGTTTGTTTGTGTTTCATTTGTTGTTGTTGTTGTTGTTTGTTTGTTTGTTTTCACAAGCAGCTTCTAGCTTCAGCTGGAAGCTGCCTGAAAGCATTACCTCTCCTGTCTTCCTGTCATTGACCCCCATGCCAGAGGTGACTTTCTGTCCCACCTGGAGGGCTCAGCTCCAGCCAGTAGGGGTGTGCAGGCCAGCCCTGCTGGTGGCAACCTCCTCAGAGCGACAGAATGAGGTAGAAGCCACCTCCCCAGCAGGACCATCCTCTTCAGAAAAACATCTTTGGTGGTAACTGACCAATTGGGGAAAAGGTGCTAAACTGGTAAACCAGGAAATGAAACAATCTTCTGATTGGAAACCAAAAAGTGTCTGCATGCATTTTCAAGTGGGGGTTTAATAATCTATTCTATACTAGCAGGGATTTTGCTTTCACAAGAAAATACGCAGCATCAGAATGAAGTGCTCACATGAAATGAAAACAAAAATTGATGTATATATTATTTCACTGCATTATTAAAAGCCACACAGACATGGTTTACAGACTAAACTGCTATCTCTGTTGACCTTTGATCTCCAGATGATGAACAAGAATGGACTGTTGGTTTGTTTCTAAAAGAAATTGTCTTTTTCCTGCTACTTTCTGTAGAGATTCATTAAAAGGTTAGAATGGCATAAAAATAAAGTACACCTTATAGAAAAACTTTAATAAATTTTGGCCATTATTTTCAAGAAGATCCATAGTTTAGAAATTGCACAGCTTGTGAAGTGATTGAGGATTTCCTCAGTAACCATTTTCTGATTTAAAGTTCTAAAAAGAAATGTTATTTTGTTCAAAATAGACCTTTTTTTTGTTATCTACATGTGCTTTGGCAGTTTTAAAATGGAAAAAAACTTTGATTTTTTTTTAAATTGTTTCCTTTCCATTTCCAGTTTTTATTACTCCTCTATCTGGATTGATTTTCATGCATGAATAGTAATTGCTTTAAAAATACTAACTTGAGAAAAAAATGTTCTTTTCCATTCTCTGCATGTTCAAATGTCTTTTTTATCCTAAACTTTACAATGGTAGCTTATGATTAAATAGATTTTTAAAAAAGAGCATGCACCTGGCTGCATATAATAAGAAGGTGATTGAATGGTGTTGATGATGTACACTCGGAAGGGAAGCTATTATGTGCATTAGAGCATATTATTCCCTGGCTATTGGCTGTGTTTTATTTCATCTGCAAATAAGTAAACATGGCACGAGATACATCTTGCCCAGCTCCTGAATTGAACATCTTGCTAGGCTTGGCTTGTGAAGCATGCAGTGCCCCTGTGCTGACTTTGCTTCACACAGGCTGTCAGGAGTGGGATGTCATTGCTGGATGGAGAGCTGATTTTAAGCCCAGGGGCCTATCCCTGCCTACTTGTCCTGCAAAGAGATGTCTTTTCTCAGCCCCTTGTATTGCTACTCTCAAAGATGAAGTCACCAGGAAGAACTAAATCCAGCATCTCCTACAGGCTCTGAACTACAGGGCACCACTAACAACTTCTGTCCCATACCATGAGGCTGAACCACATGGGGATGAGCTGCAATCACCCAACACATAGAGGTGAACATCTGAGGGCAGATGTACGAGGAACTGACCTGAGCATTCATCCCATGGCCAAAGCAAAACCGCCAGGAAATATTTTGCATGTTCAAAATTTAGTATTTTGAAAAGAAAAAAAAAATCTTATGCTGGGCAGTTTCCTCTGCCTCAGTATTTTCTGATTCTAAGCCAAATTGACAAATTGCTTTTGGTTTCTTTTGTTGCATTTTAAGGAAGTGAGAGCAAAAATATGCACATTGCACAAGAAAATGAGTTCCCATGAGAGGTATTTTTTTTTTCAAATTTTCAGGTCAATGTGTTCCTTATGGTTAAGTGACATTTCACTAAAAATCTAAATTCTTGACTGGCATCTGTTTGAAATAAAACTGCAAATCCAGCCATCACTGATGTGAACCATGATCCTGGTTCTTATTCCATCCAGAACACATGAGTATGACATCACCAAATATTTAAAAGACCTTACATCATCACAAAATTGGATTCTACCTTCTACTGTAAAAAAATTGTTTCTGTGTTCTCTAAAGAAAAATTGATTCTTTTCATGCCTACTCTGGATGCTGCAATGCTTTTATGCCTATAGCAGCTGATTGCTTTGACCCTGAAGTCCTTCTTGCAGTGCTGCTGACTTGCTGAATCACAGAGTTCATTCACAGCCTCTTGCCAGAGAATAATATGCTGAATGCAAAACTTGCTATAGCAGCAATAAAAAAAAAAATGAAATCAGATAATACAAAAAATAAAAATAAATAAAATAATAAATAGACAAAATACTAATAAAAGACTTGTCAAGGTCAAGCAGATGAATGGCAGTGTGACTTCATATGCCACAAATTTTAAGTATTAAACTTCCCCACATGAAAGCTTACTTTGACTTCCCCTGATGTTTCAGTGATAATAAGGACACCAAAAGCAGGGAATTCAAGTAATATTCTTGCATTGTCTTTAATTACTCCCATGGGTGTGAAAACTTCAGAATAGTATAAAATAGCACCAAGGGCAAGAGCTACCAAGGGATGGAGGTTCCTGAATCTCCTAATTCCAGCTTCAGAGATGCAATCTCTGCATGACTGTGACTTGATCTTGAAGGTATCCAATCCAAAGGCATTTTAGGTGCTGTAACACTGAAGTTCTTGAAGTATCACAAATTTATTTTCTGAAAAAGAAAAAAAAATAATAATAATAAACACTACAAGCCGTGATGCTACCAATGAAGCAATTTGGACTTAATTGCTAGCTAGATGCCTACACACACCAGTGCAGATAAATCACCCTTCCTCTAAAAGTGCATCTGCTGGCTTTGCCATCATCTATCCAATGCACTTGGTAGCTGGCATCACAGAACAGGAGAGGGGATGACTCCTGCTGCAATTTAGCATCAAAGGCAGACTTTGGCCATGCCAGATGATTTGCTGTGCCCAGAATTCACTTGACGTATGACTGGGTAGACTTGTATGCTCTTTACTGCCTTGTGTCCAGCAGTTGAGACTTCTGTGCTGGAAATCTGAGAGATCTGCATGCTCTAAGCTGTCTTACCTACCACATCTGTCACCTGAAGGAGTCATCCTGACCTGCTTACTTAGAGCACATTTAATGCATCTGACCATGCACAAATCTAGCCAGCTGCTAACCTCCATGCAGGAGGATTAAGCCCTCCTTGAACTCTGTGGGAGTCTTTCATATAATAAAGCATCAATTAAAAAAAAAGTTAGGAAAAAAGGCCTAGGTAGCTGAGGAGGGATGTCTTATGAAAAGGCAGCTACATTTTAGCCCTGTTCTTGGATTCAGCAAGGGGAAGTCATGCTCAACCAACCTTGTTGCCTTCTATGATGGCATCACCAGCTGGGTAGATGGGGGGGGAGCAGTGGATGTCAAGCAAGGCTTTCGATACTGTCTCCCATGACATCCTACTAGGAAAGCCGAGAAAGTGTAGGATAGATGAGTGGACGTCAAGGTTGGTTGAGAACTGGCTGACTGGCTGAGTTCAGAGGGTGGTGATCAGAAGAGCAGAGTCTGGCTGGAGGCCTGTGACTAGCGGTGTTCCCCAGGGGTCGGTGCTGAGTCCAGTCTTGTTCAACATCTTCATCAATGACCTTGATGAGGGAATAGTGCCTGCCCTCAGCAAGTATGCCAATGACACAAAGCTGGGGGGAGTGGCTGACATGCCAGAAGGCTGTGCTGCCATTCAGCGAGACCTGGACCAGCTGGAGGGATGGGCAAGAAGACACCAAATGAGATTTAATAAGAGCAAGTGTAGAGTCCTGCACCTGGGAAGGAACAGCCACATGTATCAGTACAGGCTGGGGGACGACCTGCTGGAGAAGAGCTCTGAGGAGAAGGACCTGGGGGTCCTGGTAGACGACAGGTTGACCATGAGCCAGCACAGTGCCCTTGTGGCCAAGAGGGTTAATGGGATCCTGGCATGCATTAAAAGGAGCGTGGCCAGTAGGTCAAGGGAGGTGATCCTCCCCCTCTATTCTGCCCTAGTCAGGCCTCACCTGGAGTACTGTTCTGGGCTCCCTGGTACAAGACAGGGATCTCCTGGAAAGGAGGGCCACAAAGATGATATGAGGCCTGGAGCATCTTCCCTATGAAGAAAGGCTGAGAGACCTGGGTCTGTTCAGCCTGGAGAAGAGAAGACTGAGAGAGGATCTTCTCAGTGTATATAAATATCTGAGGGGTGGGGGACAGAAGGATGTAGCCAACCTCTTCTCAGTGGTTTGTGGGGATAGGACAAGGGGCAACAGCTGCAAGTTAGAGCACAGGAAGTTCCGCACTGACATGCGAAAGAACTTCTTCACCTGTGAGGGTGATGGAGCATTGGAGCAGGCTGCCTAGGGAGGTTGTGGAGTCTCCTTCTCTGGAGATATTCAAGGCCTGTCTGGACGCTTACCTGGGCAACCTGCTTTGGCAGGGGGGTTGGACCCAATGATCTTTCGAGGTCCCTTCCAACCCCTACAGTTCTGTGATTCTATCCAATCTTCAAACTAGGATGGAAATCTCCTTTTCTCTTCTCTTCTCTTCTCTTCTTTCCTGCTGTGTAATCCTGCCAGGAACAGTGTTTTCTTATGATACTGCAGTGAATAAAACCTAGAACTAGAGAAATGTGAAAACTCAGCAAGAGAAGTAAAGTAGAGACAATTCTTCCCAGCTATACCTGAAATGGAGGCTTATTGGGTTTCCAAGGCATTCTGGCCTTCAGACTCTAAATAAATCTTTATTGTTTTTATTATATATCTGAAAGAAAAGAGACTGCTGAGTAATAACAAAGAATTTGCAGACCTGTTTGTACAACCTGAATCCCTCATTTAGGGAAGTTTATTGGGTGATCAAGGACTCTTGGGAGAAGAGGTGATGCAGTCCTCTCTCATCTCCTGGACTGCTCAGAGCTTCCCATAATGTAGCTATGACGCTGTCACTTCACATATGCACAAAACAGTGATGTGCAAAAGAGAGTACGGCTTTGGTATACAGCCAAATACTTTGAGATGCAATGAGATCATTTAAGGCAGATTTTGACCAAAAGTAGCACTCTTACCACAACAGATCTTAACAGGGACCCATACCCATCCAACTCCTTCTATGTTTGAAGTCAGTTAATGCCTTATAAACTTACAACCTCTTTGAGATGGCCTGCATTGCTAACGCTTTTCAAACTGGTAGAGAGGAATGGAAATCTGCCATGCCTCAATGCTCAGCAATCAAAATACTTATGGAAACCTTTCCCCCAGAAAAGAACAAACAAAAATCTTCCCTTCCCTTCCCTTTCCAAAAGCTCTATACTGATACTAGACAGCATTTGCAAACATAGTATAAAATAGAACTGAGTTTTTGGTGTTACTCCATCTTCTGACGTTGCAAAACAAATACATTATGCCTAGTTTTAGGGCAATTCTGGGGAGTCTTACAGAGCTCCTTTTCAGGCAGTGCTCATGTCAGCTTCCATGAGCTTCAGGATTTCATCTTTCTCTTGCACATCATGTGATTTCAGATGAAACAAGGTTCCTTGACAGTTATGCTCAATATCCTATTTTAGGAGGAGGCTTTATTTTTCTTTTTGTGAAAGGAAGCAATAGAAGGAAAGGTGAAAGGGAGAACACCATGCTAATCTCAGATTTAGTATCACAGCAAGTAAGCAGCGCTATTTTAGGAAGCTGTTCAGGCACAGGATTCCCTTAGTCTGTTAATTCATTTGAATAAAGCATAAGCTAACCCCTCTTTGACGTGTCGGTCACAGTGGACAATCCTCTTCTGTGCACACACATGCAGGCAGTGACATCGAGCTACAATGAAAGCCACCACAATGTTTGGAAGTACAGCTAGGTATAAATGACTCACTAAGCCTTTAATACTTCCGTGCACAGTGAGGCTTATGTCTAAATGAAAATGACATGATCCTTCTTCGAAATGCAAGGAATGAGTCCGTCTTTACTGCTCCCCCCATCCATGTTGTTGTTGTTCTTGACTTCTGAATAAGATGGTGCCTGTGGAGAAGCAAAGTAAGGGTTGGAAATCCCTTAATTTATTTCAGATGTCTCTAATGAGACTCCACCTCTCCCCACATAACCTCACATATATGATAACTGGTGTGTCAGTGCATTGATCACCTGAGGCAGCTGGAGTAAAATCAGGTTTCTACCACACATGGAAAATCTGATGCTGATGTTTGCAGAGGTTCTGGTCTCTGTGGGAGCCTGCAAAGCTGAGTTATGCACTATGGAAGTGCAGCATTTTTTTCCCCATCCTATGCAGGGGGTGCACAGGCCTAACATCCTCTCACAGTGGGAGAGGGAGAAGGGACATGTTCTAGGCTTGCTAGTTTCACTGTGATACTGAGGAAAATAAATCAGACAAATCAACAACATAGTCCCTGTGAACAGCAATGCTGAAAGAGTCCTGCTCTGCCTGAGCTGACCTGACCATGGTCCCACATAAACATCAGAACTAGTGTGCTGGGAAAAGAGAATTCCTGGTCATCTAATAAAGACAACAGCACAGATGAAATCTAACATGCCCGGGATGTCATTTAACCATGTTACCAAAGCAACCTGCAGCCTGTAAACATCAGGAAACAAATCTACTTAAGGTTCCTGCTGACTTGTGCCAGTGGGGAAGCTGCGGGGCAGCAGAGGCCAACTGGAGGAGCCCAGCAGGGTGGTGGGCACCCAGCTTCCCTGGCAGCAACCTGCCTGGGAGGAGCACAGCCCTGGGGCAGGGGAGGGCTTCTGTGGTACAGCCAGGGGGATGCACTGATTCAGGGTCACCCCTCAGCCCATTCCAGCCCATCAGTGAGGCTGCCACACAGCAGAAATTTCAACAAAGGTCTAACAGCACCGTGGTACTACTTCTGTGAAGAGTGACTATGCCTTGAGTGCATGAAGGTGAGATTAGCTACAGTTCTCTACCCTGCTATTAGGGCATGCGACACCAGACCTGTAACATACTATAGCAATGTGTTGAGATTCCAGAAGTACTTCACTGAGTGACTCAAACGTAGCTAGTGTGTATATTCAGCGCATCTCAGAAGAGAGGCTCATCCCTTTGGAGGTTCCTGTGTTGACATTTTTAGTATATGATGTAAGAATTCAAGGGCAGTCCATCATCAGATCACAAAGGCGACCTCCTTATGCTTTACAGGTAAAGAGAGGTGAAGGTTTTCCTTTTTAAAGATAATTATTTTTATTGTTATAAGATTAGCATGTTCTTGTTTGTCAGATTTTTGGTTAGAGTTGTAGGGTGTTTAGAAAAGTCACCTTACCATCACTAAATATGACATCACCTTGATAAATGTTATTGTCTTGTCAAGTCAATATGAGATTATACAGTTTGAGATTGAGATTCTTCAGAAACTCAATCCACATGTCATGCCAACACCACCTGAGGGATCTAAAATACTTAGACTTAGATCAAAGATAACATGCCAACTCAGATCCTATTGGAGACCATAGAGTTTAGTTCATTTTCTTAAAGAAGAATAATTAGAAATATTTGACATTACACAATAGTTCAAAGTATTCACTCAAAATAGGAATAAATAATAATAAAGATCATAATAACACATTTGCTTTGAAATCTACACTTACACAGCATCTTTTACATAAAGACTAACTCAAGACTGTAGAGCGATGATTTAACAAGCAAGAATCACTCTTCCCACAACTTCAGCATAGACACACATACGCAGTGGAAAGGAGGATCCACATCACACCACATCAGAATACTGTGAGGTTGGACGTAAACTACAGTGTCTCTGCAAGTGTGGGGGAATTCAGACAAAGGGAAGTTATTAAGCCAAAATAGAATTTGGTCAGGAAATGAGGCTGACTCACTCTCCCAACAATTATATCATCTTCTTCTAACTTTTCCTGAAAAAGATTAAAATCTACTGTTTTACAAGACATTGGTTTACATTGTCACGATATGCCCCTACCAAGCAGGGAAGTTGGCATTTTAAAAAACTCTCAAACAGGCAGAAATAAAAATAAAATTAAAATAAATTTTCCCTGAAAAATTCACAAGTTTCTGTTGTCTGTGCCTGTCTTAAGAATAATCCTACCTACACTTGATACAATGGCAAAACCAACCCTGATCACAACACTGTAGTGCTGGGCCTTGAGACTCCTACTCTAGTTTTCTGCTGTCAGAAGTATCCTGTTGAATGCTTCTGTAAATGGATATGCACAAAACTACAGATGACAATGGCAAACAAAAAGGTGACTATGTCATAAATTTTCTTTCAAAAATCATGAATGGCATGGAGATACATAATCTTCAAAACTGTTTCCAATACATCACTCTTTCCATATGCCTGTGCATATTGGCTGAAATCTTCCAAGCACTGTCATTACAAGGGAATTTTATGAACATTAATTCAGTAGGTGAATGGCTAATACAGCATTTTTGCTCTCTAATAGCATCCACATAAATGCTGAAAATAGCAACCTGAAAACATGTTATCTTGGAACCCATATCTGAATCAATAAGGTGATCCAATTTGTTTGTTTGGAGCAGCTTGGTCACTGAGCTGTGAAGCTCTGGCTCCAGCTTCTGACATGTTTCTGACATTTTAATTGGAAATCCTATTAATCTGCTGGCCCATATACAATTAACTTCCTCTGGTAATATATTCACCTTTTAACTAAAATCATTGTGGATAACTAGAAGGAACTGCTATATCTTCATTATGCATTAAAAAAAAAAAAAAAAAAAAAAAAAAAGAAGAAATCATAACACTTTACTCAGTGTTTTCATTAAGAAAAGTAATTGAATAAGTTAAGAACAATCGTTTGGATGCATATCCTCCAAAGTAATTCTGTCACTAAATTGTTCTTCTAACATAGAAGGCTTTGTAGATGTAGACGCTAAGACCACTTAAAGCAAGAAGATCGTTAACCTTAGATTTAGTAACCTAGTTGGATTATCTAAGAGGAAATTGTTAATTATTGCTTGTGAGGCTCTAGAAATAGCCTCGATCTGATGTAACTAGTGCTTAAAAATAAAGCCATTTGCACTGTTAGCAGAGAAATCAACTTATCCCTAGGAAAAGGGGATCACCTGTTAGGCATACCCTCCATTCTGCACCTGGGCTGACAGGGCTGACACCTGGGCTCCCTATGCAGAGAGCAAATAGGAGATAGCATTTCATCCAACTCAGCTACTCCCAAGAAACAAACAATGTAAGAACTGGCTGAATAAAAATCGCATCAATTACAGAAGACTATTTCTGTGCAGAATTTTTCTTAGAATTTATACAGAAATAGATTGGTTCCTTGCACACTTGCTGCAGAGGCTTGTTTGATAGCACATACTTCTCTCCCAAGGCCATTACCAGAAAAGTCAGCTACTCACATGATGTCCCTTCACGTCATTTTTAATCTATTATTTAGTTAATCCAAATATTTAATTAGACATTTCAATATTAAAGCAATTTGCAAGCTTCCTATGTACTCAGCAACAATTATGTATCAGCTTAGTAATAGAAGAATGACTAACATTTAGTTGAAATTCTCTCTAAAGACTACTGTGATATGTTTCAAATTGTTGATTTGTTTTTGCCTTTCCAGACCTGGTAAGAAACAAAGACTTTGTAAATCTGTTTTTTGGGGGTTGTAATTCTTCTTGCTTTGTAAATGCCAGCGTATCATTTTGCAGCACAGTGACATCACAACAGAGTAGTATGTAGAGATTGCTCTGCATGCCCACACCATAACATAGCAAAACAAAGTTTCTGTGAGCAAGAAAATAGTTTCCAGGGCATTAAGCTTCAATTGCAGGCTCCAGGATGTGGACTCACCTTGGTAAAACCAGACTGATCCTATGAAAGCTGAGCCTTCAGCCAAAGCACTTGTTTGTAGCAGGATACTTCGTAAGAACAGAACCAGACAAACAGGAAACACTCTCTCTGTCATCTAAATAATAAGCACCTTACCAGACTTCTATTCATACAGAAGAAGTCTAGTAATTAATGGATTTATGATTACAGGGTTCGGGTCCTAGCTGAGAGGTAAGAACCACTTGGTCCAACCACTGAGAGTTAAAAGTTTGTGGAGGAAAAGAGGGATGGGGCCACAGGAGGATGGAGCAGACGAAGGAGGGAGAAGCAACAGCATGGTGAGGGAGTGGTGGCTCGGCTGCAGGACCTGCGAGCCTTGCATGCCTGTGGCTTCTTGTGTCACTGGAACTGCATGGTGAAGAAGTAGGTAAGGAATTCAGCTGTGCGTCATTTACTTTATATCCAGTAGCATCTCAGAAAACTCTCCCCTGAGAAGCAATTTCAAAATACACTTACAGCACTTGAACGCAATACCTTAAAGCAATTACAAACACCAGCTAGTAAAAGAGTTGGCAGATGCTCACAATCTTTCAAAAATCAGAGATAAGGAAATGCTGGCTCTCTTTGTTTCTGCCTCCAAAAATTAGCTTCTCCAAGCACCACACATTTGTCCAGTCTGCCAGCTATCCTACTAATATTTTCAAATTCATTTTGGCCAAGGGATAGCAAAGAGAAGGAGCAGCCATTTTGTTTCCTTCACAGCTAAAGCAGGAAAATCTTACGTGAGTCAAAACTACTCAAGGGTGCCCATGTGATTGGTGACAAGGGAGGCAGATAGAGGCTGGGCCCTGTACTGAGAGCCTCTCCCGTATTGACCCCCCCCCCTGCCCGCACCTCCCCTTCTCTCTTGCTGCCAAAACTTGGGCATCCTCAGCAAAATCTGGGAAATGTTCCCCAACACAGTGCTGAAGTATGTAAGATCATCAAACTGCCTTTATCTTCTTAGCCATTACCACTCATGGATTTGAAACCTGGTTAGGGTAGAGAAAGGTCTTCCTTCCATGTACTCTACCCAGTTTTCCCACAGGTAATAATTTAATAATTAGTCTTCCAGATAACATTATAAGTGGATTTCTAGAGAAGTTATAAACAAAAATCTACATTTGTCTTGCAAGGTAATATTCTGGATGCTATGAAACAAGAAACTACCAGCTTCATCCATCCTTGGATGTTTTTTCATTATCACTTTTGTGGTAGGGACCTAGTCAAAACTGAATGTAGGCAAAATTAAGCAGGTGCAGGCAGAAGAGAGTCATTTGTATGCCAAATGCTCATGTGTCTAAGACTTCCTTTACTTGCATGGTGTTCTTCAATGGTGTCTTTGGTCTACTAAAGCAGAAAACAGTCTTTTGTTCTGGCATTGAGAGAGGTATGCTTGAACAGAGAATTGTGTCGCTTATAGCCATTACATTATTTTCACTTCAGTGCTTTAAATAATCTGAAAGTCTGTGAAGAAGGAAAACGAAATACAGAAAATTCTAGCACATTTTATCCTGCAAAGAACTGGTTAAAGTATGTGTCTGTTCCTAGGTAGTAAGCTAAAGTAAGCTTCATTTTGCTTAGAAGCAAGACCAAATGCCCTGGAAAAGGCAATAAGTATTTGCTTTATGAAACAGGGTTCCTTTCACAGCTTGGGCTTCTGTCAGGGCAAGTTGGTATAGTTTTCTAATTAAAAATAAATAAATAAATAACTGACTTAGAAATCCCTCCTGTACACTGGGGAGAGGACAAGTCATAGGGTTTGGATGCAACGTAAAGTGCAAATCAGCCTTTCCACCTTCAATGCTAAATACAATGCTGATCTCTGATTTGTCTTCCTTAAAGAGTTATGGAACAAATCAGAAAGAAAGACTCCTAAGGAAGAAAATGGACTTAATTTTTTTGGAAAACTCTTAACTCATTAGAAAGATGCACTGACTATTATACTGAGCAAGGGACTATGACAAACGGTACTGTCAAGTAAGTGAGCATACTCAGTATGAATGAGAAGACAGAAGAACTGAACTGGAAAACCCACACACCTTAAAGTTGTGTTTAATGGACAGCAACCTACTGTCTAACCATCACTTTTAGGAAAGTATGCAACTTCTTCAGGAGAAGAGGAATAGTGATGCAGGATCAGGCACTGGTTGCATTGATCTTAATGGCAACATATTTAATTATTTCAGTGGGGAAAGGATCGGGTCTGTAGGTGAAAGCATGAAAATTTATCTCCATACTAATGAACCAGCATCAGCAGGAAAGAAAGCCTGTTGTGTGAAAACAGCTAATTGTAAATGCAAGTCTAAAAGTAATTTTGCATTTATGTTTGCAAAAAGACAGGCAAGACATGAAAAACAAGCCTTTCAGCCAAGAAAAATGGATATTAATTCAGTTCCCCAGCTAGGGCACCTGTGCAAACAATACCATCCTCAGGCAGTTAAAACAGAGAACACCATAGCTAATAGGGTAATGTTGATTAACACCTGACCACTTCACAGGGAGTGAAGAATAGATTTGGCAGATTAGCAAAATGAAACGATGTCACCTAAAAAGCCATTTCACACTCAGTGCTTCTACAAGAATGTTCAAGGTTTGAACATTTTTCTTAGCCAAAACTGGAGTGTTTGACTATTTTTGTGAGGTTAGAAAAAAAAGGTTATTATTTGGTAAATCTTAATATTCCATGTAGATCATTTTAAAACTAACTTTGCTTTTAACCATTTAAAAAGCTGGAGCTCTTTTGCTGTAGACCAAGTTAATTTTTCAGCTATGAAAATATTTTTACACAAATGGGTATTTAATAGCTTAAGAACATTTTCATAATGTTTCTCAAAAGTAGGAATTTAATTAAATCAACTGATGGTCACGAATAATTTCAATATAAACTATTTTTAATGTTCAGTAGAAAGATTTCTAATCAGATCAGCTCTGGTCCCATACAAGACGATTTTGACAAAATTCTGAGAAAATCAGTTACAGCACCTGGAGACCTCGCTGCAGCACGTTACATCATGCCAAGAACTTGCAGGTGTGATTAGCTGATTAGCTTCTTCTTTGAAAGACTAAATTTGAAAGTGGCCCTTAGAAACATGTAGGAAAGTGAGACTTTTTTTTTTTTTTATCCTGCACTTTATTTATTTATTTGTTTATTTATTTTACAGACAGAGACTTCTGTTGCCCAGGAGCATTTAGTTTGTAGAAAATATGATTCATCTGTGTTCACATTTAGTTCTGGTGGTTCCACTTTTGTAGGGAAATGAACACCATGTGTTGAACACTGATATAAAAAAAAAAAAAATCAGAATCTGAAAAAAATAGCCTAAGAGATCTGGTCTTATCCCATTGCTAGGAGGACTGGAGATCTGTGGGACCAGAATAGTTTCTATCTTATGTTAAGGTCTGTAACTAGATTGACAGGAGTTGAAGTAATCAGAACCCTTTAGATATTTTCAGCATCATGCATATACGTTGTCTACATAGCCTCAGACTGACCTCAGTTTGAGGTTAACTTGAAGTTTGTTGCAAGTCAATTAAAAAAAAAAAAAAAAACACAACTGTGTTAGGTAACTGCCAACAGCTGAGCAGGGCAGAATCCTGTCATGCAGACTGGGGCTTTTCTGAGCCTCCAACAGCCAACTCAAGCCATTCCTCGGCTGCTCAAAGGAGCCTATTCACAGTCCAGCAAAACACAGATGGTTTTTATTTACAGCTTGCCAGTATCATCCAGACTAGCAGCTAATTGAAACTGTACTATTTTCATGCTTGATCTTTGCTGAGCTATAAATGAAGAGCCTTGAAAAAATATTTTCCCTCATACACTTATACAGTGCACCTTATATTTGCCCTCCTCAAATTCCCAAGAAGTTACCAAGCAGTGCCAAAAGCTCCTTAAAGATTATGGACGACTGAATCATCACAGAATGATTTTTGAGTGACCTAGGAAAGCATTTTATATAAGAGGCTTCATGGATTGAGAGGGGAAAATGTATGCAAGCCCTTCTAGCATAGGTTGGGAACTGAGTGTAGGATTAAAGCTTGGAAACTGTTCATTTTGATTTGTTCCAATCCCAGCTTTGCTGGGTGAGTCTGAGAAATTCTGGCAAACAGCTGTGTGAGAGACTGCCCTCACAGGAAATAAGGAACCACTGTAGGATGCACAGAATACCTCTATCAACTTTGTTTCTTAAAAAGAAACTGAAGCCCAGGAGCCTACCCCAGCTTTTATACATGCTGAGTTCTTGCAGGACTCTGCTGTTAATTAGGTTTGCAAAGCAGGACAGAAAACAGAATTTATGTAAGGCTGTGGATGTGGAGATTGGTAAATTTTAAGTTGGTCTGCAGGAAAATTGAAAGAAAAATAAGAGTGAGGATTTATTGTGTGAGAGAGACTGCTATCTGGAGTCACGTAAGGCTGCCAGTAGAAGATAAAAATACAAAACACGCTTGAAGTAAAATAAGCATGCAAGAATCTCACTACAGAATGACAATTATTTTCTTCATATAGGGAGAATTTTTTAGGCAAAAAATGTGCTTCTTCACTATCTCCTAACTAGGTAAATACATAAAATTCTCTTGTCCATTTTATTTACATGCTTATTGTTATTGCTGTTAAGAATGAACCATAAACAGAGATCTGCAATCCTAGGCACTGTGGGGATGAAGAGAAGGAGGCAGTCCACACCCTGAACTGCTTACAGTAAAAACAGACAAGACAGCCAAAAATTAGAGAAAGGAGATAAAATACACCAAAAAAAAAAAAATCTATGGCAGCAAACACTATGGTATTTTCACAGTTGTACTGTCTTCCCAAGCCCTGGTTGCACTTGGGGTAGGGGCAGGAATGTGATAAACTAAAGGGATAGACATGCACATACACACACACACACACACACACACAAAAAAAAAAAAAAAAAAAAAAAAGAAAGAGAGAGAGAGAAGCAAAGGAGGGAGTGAGAGAAGGAAGGCAAGCTAGAGGGAGAAGGCTGAAACCATCAGGGGCATATCCAGGGAAACAACAGTGAAGAGGCTTGGATGAGGTGGATGAGGTGAGCATCACGGTAATTAGCTGCTTGGCATCAACTTGCCAAAACTATAGCTAATATTATCAATGTTGATGAGTATCAGCTCACTTTGTGGCTGTTGGCACAAACGCCCAGTTACAACTCCAAAGGCCATACATTTGGAAGAGCAGGAGATCCTAATCCTGCAGACAGATATGATTTTTCCCTTACACATTTCTAAATATGGAAAGAATTGGAAACATTTTTCTCTGAGTATCTTATTCTCCAAAAAATAAGGTTTGGAGCTTAGACAAAATTACACAGAAATCCATGGCAAATTCATGAAATTGTTTCAGCTAGGGGAAAAGGAATGTGTTTATTTAAGTTCAAATGTTTTACTTTGACATTTTTAAACAAAAAAATTACCTGTATTTATTTTAAAATTAATTAGATTAAACTTTACCTTCATTTCACTGGGCCTCATATGAATTTGTAAGATACTGACTAAGCCTAAAAATCATTATGCAATGTCCTGGATGCAAGACGAGCCTTGTACTATTTGCCAGCAAACAGAGGAGTGCAATGAAAAGTTTGCAGTTGTGCTAAGCACAGCAGACAGAATTTATCTTCAGTGCTACCTTTCAACATGCATTTTACATAATATGTTGCTTTTCTGTTCCTTTTTTCAAGGTGATTTGGACAAATGTACACCTGATCAGTTGATCTGGACAATTCTTCTCATTCATCACCCAGTATGCTTGCTTACCCCAAAACACACACACACAATGTACTTTCAGCTTTTCAGAAAATGGGCGTTTTCCCTCAAATACTGGAGAAAATCGAAGTGGCTGCCTGTCATTCCACAGGTTGCCGGATTCAAGGTGAGAGGAGAGGGCGCTCTGAAGATGAGCTCTTTCTATGGACAGTACCTTTCCAGAAATATTTTTGCACAGAAAACAGAGGGTTCCTAAACACCATGTGAGCGGTTCTTTATTTCCATGGTCTCACACAAGCAAAGGGGCAGGCTTTAAGGAGCCATTTCCATATTAGGTTTAAGTTTACTGGTCAAAGACAATACCCTAAGTTACACCCAGCAATGAAATCCAAACAGGTGTAGCACTGAGTGCTACCTGCAAGAATGCCTGGTCAGCAAGCCAGCAGTGACATGCCACTCCAGCTGTAAGTAATCTTAACCTGGGGCCAAACTATGCAGGGCCTGAACTTTGCTCTGCACTTGGCACAGACTAAATTGGCAATCTAACAGGCAAAGACTTTGCTGTCTAAATTTAGATGTGTTGCTACAATGAGAACAACCAATATGTTGATTATGGACTAAGAGAGTGTAGAAATCACAGCCTTCCCCTCAAAACTGCTTGGATCTGGCACAAGTCATGTTTTGATGATGCTTCTATTAATTTTAAAGATATCATTCAATAAAATCGGGCCTCACCATGACAGAAACAAGCTTTAATGGGTGGTGGAAGGAGAGTGGGACAATATTTCTGTAAGACTTCAAGAACCCTTCTACTATGAACAGATTAGAGATGAGGTCACCCATGCTCAGATCAATGATGTAGACGTCAAGATAACTGTGAACTTCAAGAGGCACTTGAAGTTGCAGTCTATAGAGTTGCAGAAAGTCTTTCAAACCCGTACAAGGAGTCTGCATGTGATACATGGTTGTTAAGAAACCAATGAAGGATTCAAAGAGAAAGAGAGATGGATGAAAATCACATGTACACACACTTTTTTCTTTTCTCTTTTTTTTTTTTTTTCAGACAGACCAAGGGGGAATAATGAAGAACACCATAGAGGAAACCACAGTAGTAATCACCCAACCACTGGTGAGTTCCTGCACCAGAATCTAATCAGGGAGGCTCCATGGCAAACATGACTTTCCAAACCTGGACCTAGGGCAAGAATTTAGTGACTCTTGTTATACTTGCCACACAGAGACAGCAAACAGAAGACAGTAAAAAGAAAAGTAAAAAGAAAAGTAAAAAGAAAAAGAAAGAGAAAGAGAAAAGGAAAGAAAAAGAGAAAGAGAAAAGAAAAAAAGATAAACAGGGAAAAAGGAAAAAAAAAAAGAGAGAGAAGAAAAGGAAGAAAAAATATAAAATATATAAAAATATAAAATATAAAAATTCTCTCAGCCTGGCTGAGAGCCTGTCATTATACATTGCATTATACATGCAATGTATAATGACAAATTTTGTCATTATACATTGCATGAAGGGAGGAATCCAATGAAGCGACAAAAAGAGATATCTGATTCTACCCAGGCTTCAAACATGGTTTTCTGATGGCTTTCCTTAGTTGCTGCCTACATTCATATACCTGTATGTATAACTCACTTTTCAGATGCAATCACACGCTTCTGCCCACCAACTTACAAAATAAAAGGTATGCAGATCAGTGTAAAATGCAAGTGAAGGTGAAAAAATATTGGAGAAAGTCGAAAAATCATGTACAGATTCATTCATTATATTTTGATTCACATTTAACTCAGATAAAAATGTTATTGGTTTAGCTACTTCACAATGGACTAATGTTCAAAATGGCACTTGAGAATGAAGTAATTTATTACATTTAAAATTAAAATTAAGGGAAGTCCAAGATATAAACCAAATACTTACTACTCACTGGCAGAAATCAATTTATTTATTTATTTTGAGATAGGTTTTCATAAAATATGCAGCATTCTATTAAAATAGTATAAAAAATAAAAGAGAGATTGATTACTTCCTCAGGTAGTGCACAGTGATATAGCTGTGGTCATTTTTCAATCATGCAGAGTGGGGGAAAAAAAAAAAAAACTGTTTCTAATTATAAGGAAGAGGTTTCCGAAAAAAAAAAAAAAAAAAAAAAAGAAAAGGAAAAAAAAGCTACACTCACAAGTAAGTTACACTCAGAAAAATATTTGGTGGGGTTTACACAAGCTCATAAATGTGTAGAGGTTAACCATGATGAATAAGCAACTGAGAAGTCTTTTCCAAACAAACTAGCATCCTTTGCCTTTTTATCTGTCAATCCTCAGAAGTAGACATTGTGAGTTAACCTGCCATTGGTGGAGTTCAGGTTTTTCAGAGTCTCTCTTCTACCTTGCTTCTAGCTGTTTGTTTTTGTTTTCGTTTTCACTCTTTCCTTAGAACTAGATTATGTCTGTCCTACAGACATAGCAGGCAATGTCTGACCTAATCAAGATGCCGTCATTTAGTGAACAATATTGGTGGTAGGTGGACAGTTGGATTAGATGATCTCAGAGGTCTTTTCCAACTTTAATGATTCTATGACTCTATGACGTGCATCTGATTAAGTTGTTTTACCTCACCTCGTATTTAGTGTTGAGGAATAGACACTTCCATAACCTGATTCCTCTCGTCCACATGTAGATTTCTAAAAGCATCCAGATGCATTGTGTTCAAAATGGCAGAAAAGAAAAGGGCTCCTTTCTGGCCAGTGACTGGACAGGGGAGGCCTGGGAGATCAGCTAATAGACATGAGACAAGAAAACCGTTAAGAGACTAGATGCATAAATTGCAGATACATGAAAGAGGAACACTGTCTTGAAAATACAATTTTCTTCAGTGTTTCAGAAGCAAACATATTTTGTCCCTGGCATTGTGTAGCTATTTTCCTTTTCAGCTACAACATCATAGTATTAAAAGGTAAGACTTTATTCTTCTTCTCAAAGACAATTCTCTGGATTTCAAAATCTGTTCCCCAAGAAAAACAAAAGAATTATTTTCTATCACCTGAAAATTGGATTAGAGGGTGCTCACAACAAGACATCCAGTTTATTAGAATATCATCCACTGAAAGAAGAAACATGACGGCAACGTATGTACAATAAGTTGTAAGGTTTTTCACCCTGCATTTCAGCCTCAGGCTTCAGCCTCAGGGTCATCATTTTTAATAACATATCTACAAGCGACTGGAAGTCTCCAGGCAACCACCATGTTGCATTTGGTCACTAAATAAAATTATCAGATGACAGAAGAGAAGAAAAAAAGATAACCTGAGTAGATGACAAACCCCCATTCATTTGTCATGATTCAGAGGATACATTACTTTGAGTTGGACTTTGTACATACTTATCAAGTATCTTAATGCAGTTATTAAGTACAAGGTCATGACAGTATTAAATATGAATTGCTGTGGTACCACACCCAGGTGATATATCTGACATGTAAAGGTCTAGAAATAATCTGATGCTTATCAGAGCTTTGATTAGGGTCAAACACTGATCTGAATGGGGTGGGGGGATAGATGTAGACATGCAGGATATTTTCCATGACCCCAAGAAATCCACATTGGTCACCTCAGGCAGTGCTACTTAGAAGGGAGCTATAAATTCTGGGCTGAAGTACAGCCTAATAATCTGCAATCAGGGTTGTTACAGTGTAGTCGTGATGCGATATTTTCTAAACATTAATGAATGTAGCAATTGTTATTAAGCTCTCATTTTGTGTATTAATTTAAAAATTTTTGAGGGTACTGTTCTACTCAGGGGCCAAAGGCCTCTCCAGAAGGACATTTACTTCCAGTTATTCAGTCTCTGCTTCCAACCTGAGTATTATACTTTGATATTTATAATGAGTGAGTGCATGTGGAAAGAGCAAGTGTTTATACCACCCTTAACTGAATCGCTTTCAAGATATGGTTCAGTTCAGACTCGAACAGGGTGAATTTTGTATGGTGTTTTATACAGTTTTGTATGGGTCATTCATTCTTATTTCTGGTTTAAAACAAGCAGTCTTATGAGATCCTGTCTTCAGTTCAATCAGCTCAAATCATACATGTATACCATTCATGTTTTGAATAATACATAGTACTAAAACACAGGGACACATTCTTAGCATCCTGATGATTTATATTGCAACACATCACTGTCTTGGCGAGTTGAAATCCACAGCACACAAAACATGAATGTTCTTTCACATACTGATAATTACTTTTAAATTCTGTAAGATAATCAAGGAAGTGTGAGAAGTCATAAGGCTACATTCTCTTCACAGGATATGAATAGTTCTTGCTTTTTCTTTCTCTCTCTCTCTTTCTCTCTTCTTTCTTTCCTGAATGGTCTGTCCCGGGAGAAATACTTCTGTAAATAAATGCTTGATGAAGAAGTAAGAAATGAGTGAGAGAGTTTCAGAAGTTTTCATATTTCCTGCAGATTTTCCCTACGCAGAAGCCACAAATCTGCTGTTCTACATCATCAGGCTTGCAGCAAGTGCGAAAGGCCATCTGTAGCAAATATGCCGTCTTACCTAGTGCTTTTTTTCTTCTAAGAGGAGACATTGAATGATTTGTGAGAATTTTCCTAAATTCCTATTACTCATATCCTTTATGATTTTTCCAAATGAAATGTTATTAAATGACTAGTGCTCATTTTGAATGTATGACTAGGTTTCTCAAGCACTGGCAGAGGTTTATATGCTCACCTCAAAACACCTCCCTAGTTGGAAATCACTGAAGTCAGGCTATTTGATATCCTTGTGAAACAACAAGTTGTGCTGAGCAAGCACTCTATTCAAAAGCCCATCTTCAAAGTGGATGCTAGAGCCCAGATGCTCAAGTGCACTGAGGTACCTAACTCCACCAGGCTGAGGATTAGGGTCTAAGTGTTTATCTTGGCAGGCATTTCTAGCTGTAAGCCAGGACTGGGTGCAGATGGAGAATTAGCTTCTTTTCCACTTTTAGAAATAAGCATTTGAGCTGAGCACAAAAGCACTCTGAAAGTTTCTAAGACATTTGTCTGCACATCTTAAGGATTTATCTTTCTGTTATAGAGAGACTAATACATTTCACTATGTTCATAGCAAAGCACAGTCTTGGCTCTGGCCTTGTTGTGTCCTTTGGGAGTCCACGGCTTCATTTTTTCAAGCTCAATGATCTGTCTATATTTCTACCTCAGGCTTCTGATGTGCTTCTGATAAGCTACAATTACAGGTGAACAGGTAAAACAAGAATTCAAGGGCACTGCTAAAATGCTGGGCTCAGCATCCCTCACTCCCCCATCTATCACCACTTTTGTTTTCCTACATTTAGAACATACCAGCAGTTGAGAAAAAAAGAAAAAGTCATAGAAAAATCATAGAACCATGCCATTCTCTGCCTACTTGTCTGGAACTCAACAGAGAATCTGATTACTTTCCATTTGCATGAGAAAAAAAAAAAAAAAGAATAATGTTAAGGTCCACAAAATCAGATGTATTCGGATACTACAGTAATGATAGAGAGGGATGTATTCTTGTATGTAAGGAAATAATTTCTGAGTAGTAAAGACAGAAAGCTCCAATAATAAGCTTTGTTTTTCACTCTCCTCCTCCCTCTTCCCATAAACTTAGTTCGGAAAGTGGAATTATATGCATGTTCCTGAAACAATATATTACTCACTCAAAGGCCATAGCTTTCACGGCCACTTTCAGCCAGAAATGTGCTAGCAAGATGCACCTTCACATTCAGTTTCTTGTTACCAATTTTTCTCTCTTCTACTGCACCTGCACCCATTCAGTGTGCAATAAACCACTGTACAGGTGGTATGGACAACAACTAACATGGCAAGAAAAAAATAAAAATGTTGTGAATCTCTGCCCTCCCACTCCATCCTCCTGGTCTAGTTGTGCTTAGATACACAGTGATTTTGCTAGCACAGAATGAGAGGTAATAGTGGGGAATCACAAGGCAGAGGACAGACGGGGAATAATGATTCTTTGAGCTATCTGCCTGCATATCTACATATGACAGGAGCCAGGGAGGGGCCAGGCATAATCCCCACACTAAAGGGGACTCTTCCTGCTCCATCAGACCTCTGCAATTCTTTTCCTTATAAAGGTAAAATATTCCTTGGTTTCTTTGTGTAACTGTATGCGTATGCTTATGTGTGATAGTAAAAAATGCATGTAGCTAACTGTAAAGGAGACCCTGTATTTTAATATGAAACTAAACATTTATGAATTTATGACCTCTAACAGGTGAGAAGTTAATTCCAGTATCTCATCAGGGTCATTTGAGAGATTAACTAGTCATTCCTGGGGTATGAGGGCCATTGCCAACTGCTTTGAAAGTAGATGCTTTCTGCACGAAAGCTGGGGTCATCATGATACCAGATGGCACAACGATGCTGATCTATACACAAACATGAGGGCTCTTGTCCTTCTCTGCCACCAGCCTCTCCCTGCTTTGCACATATATTCTCTGCCATAGGATGCAGCAGTCTTGTGACTGTTCAGCCTTTCTTCTCCCCCACATCCACACTCAGGTTTCAGTCAGCTCTGTAATCTCCATCTCTACCACGTCTCAAAAAGCTGGGAAAAAAAAATGCATTTACAGTTACAATGCTATGTTCCAGACCAGCTCATTTAAAAAATAGCATAAATGGGAGCCCTGCAAAACTCGGTACAGTTCTATCTCATAAATCCACAAAAATAGTCATTAAAAGGACTGCTTGGGTTCATTTCTTTGTTATCTTTCATATTTTTCTATGCAAGCCTGGAGTTTAGCTGATTTCTGATAACTCCAAACACAATACATAGGCAGGTGATTCCTTCCAGAGGAAGATACCAACGTCATTGCGGAGGCCTGCCTTACACACACTAATCCTTTGAAAACAAAGTATACCTGTATGCAAACAACAGGGATGAAAAGCCCAATGATACTAGCTGATTGCTTTCCATGAAGTGATCCCAAGCAGGGTGTCCTGGAAGAAGTTATTCTCTTATTATTGCCATGGTAAATCAGCAAAGAAAAATAGACAAAGCCTATATTAATAGCCTGTGTCTCTACTTGAAGTAATGAGAGGTTTAAAATGTACTCCTTCTGACAGATAGAAATAGTAAGAGATTATTTGGCCAAAAAATGTTCATTCAGTGACATAAAATTCATGCAACATTCTTATTACTACCTTTCTGGCTAGGCTGATAGATCATGTCAACAGGCAGGCAGCTTGAAAGAGTAGATGTAGACATACACATGTATATATACATCTAAACTTTGATTTTACAGCAATCAGAGCTAAAGAAATCTTTTGTACTAAGTGCTTTTCAATAAGTATTATTCTTATCTTCTGTTCCCTGTGCTTTTGCCGTATGTTTCCCAGATTCTTCAGGTTTTAGACAAATGAGGTCTATTCGACGCTTGAGTTGCGCTACTTCCTTGTAGCTGCTTGGACAAACTACCAGTTCATCCTCTGAATCAAGTAAGAATGAGCCAGAAAAATTACCAGGACTCCAGAGGGTAAGGTGTCACTTCTTCAATGGGGAGGGCAGGGAGCAGTAGTGACTGATGCTGAACTGAAAACATCTTTCTATTGAACCACCTATTCATTTTCTTTCTCCAGTCCCAACTCAGGGAAAATACCCTCCGCTTTGAGACATGAGGAATTAGCCAAATAGTGCCTCTCAATCCTTGTTGCTGGTTGCACTGGTGTTAAAGATGAAGACTGTGAGAAAGAGGAAGCGCAATCTATTCATTTGAAGAAATCAAACAATGACAACAGAAGAAATCATTTGGATTGTTTCTTCAGTTCTGTTTTCAAGTGCAGCCTCACTGATGGACTTGCTTACAACACAAGCCACTCCCTGTTTCCTCAAAAAGAGTTAGTTCATTGCCTCAGCAGTAGTGCAAGAGCTTCCTGAAGTAGTTTGCACAGCAATCTCATTCTCTGATCATCCATGCCAGCTACATTTCCAGAACTCAAGAGGCTGTAGAAACTGCTCAAATGTACATTTGGATAGTGCATGATTAATCCATGACGCTAAGATGACATAAGTCTAAAACAGCTTATGATCCTTACAGAACCTTGTCTTACAAGGAACAGATAGAAAAAACAGACAGTATTTATGGTCAGAGAAATGATCCCCAGATGCTGCTTTAGAGCTGACCCTGCAAGCCAGCAAGTTTTTCATATAGTCCTCAATTTATTTCCACCCAGCCAGCTTTGCATCTTGGATATCACAGCCCCAGAGACTCCTACCAAACCTTACAGCACCTCTCTCCAACCCCAGGTGTGGTTCACAGTGCACCTCTGATGAGTCTGCCACCTTCTCTCACAGCCCTACAATCAACTTTGTCTAAACCCCTGAACCACCCTACAATTCACCTCTCCCACCTTTTGAATATTTATGTATTTATATTCCACCACCCTCAGCATGTATACCCATCAGTACATGCACAAATCTTTGCAAAATCTGCACTCTGTCTCCCTAAGTGCTACCTCCTTCACTATCTACTTGCCAGTTATACCATTGCCAGAGCAATAGCTAGGTGCTGGTCTTGGGACCTACATATTTCTGGTGCTTTTTTGAAGCCCATGACTTCTAGATGCTTGGTTTGAGTATTGCCAATTCTACAAGCCTCCAGCAAGTGCTCTGGGACAGGTCAAAAAAAGCATTTAAAGGCAAAGCTAACTTTAAGAGCAGAAATGATGGCATTAAAAGCAAAACAACTGTTCACACACTCATAAATAATCATTTGCCCCAGTGCTTTGACAGACTCAGGTTGATTTCATTCAAAAATCAGCCTTTCAGATGAAGACCTTCATGTCTGAACCTTTCTCCTGCTGTTTTTAATAAGAAACTGCCTTCATTTAGAAACAGGTCTTTCCCAATGCACTCCACAGGGGGAATGTAATTATATGTGATAGAAGTCATGACTTCTAAGAGAAGATATAAGGTATCTGTTTCACTGCCTTCTTTATAGACTTGTGCTTAGATCATTGCTGGTTTAATTAACTTAAATGTTAATTTTCTGTGGACTATAGATTTAAATAAAAGATTTGATGAACAAAATCTAGCTTTTAGATCAACGTAGCAAAACTATTTTTAGCCTAAGATGGAGAAATTGCTCAATTTAACTAGCTGTTCTCAAATCCTCCTAGCCTGCTTTCACCACCTGATTTTATTCAAAGCCAGAGCAGCTCCCGATGAAGCAAGTGACTTGCACAGGATTAGGGGGAATTGTATGACTCTCTTGGTCTTTCCTGCAGCACCTGTATCATCACATTCAGTCCCTACATAATCATACTGCTAAGAGCTATCAGGTTTTACATGCTGCATGTGAGACTTGGAAAGTAGATGTTGGTTGTTTTGCCATTTCTTCCCTTTCCCCTCCCCTCCCTTCCCTTCTCCCAAACGTCCTGTATCTCAACAACTGCAGAGCAGCACCCTGCTGCTCTGATCCCACCCGCTGGTCAGCAGATCACAGATCAGGTTGACCATCTGCCTATAGCATGGGGAGCTGCGGTGTGTGGGAGAAGCCTTGGCAGCTGGGGATTTTCCATCTGAGAGACCATGTGTCCCCAGGACCTTGCAGGAAGTGGCACTTGCCAGCTGCCACGTGTGCATGATGTGACACGGCATCACCGCGCTGAGGTGGCCCAGGGAGCAGCTGCTTTCTTTCCCCTGCAGGGTTCTGCAAAGTGAAGCAGTCCTGGGCTCCTTCGTATGATGATATTGGCTTGACTCACCTTTCACACCAGTGCCCAGCAGAGCATAAAAACCACAGAAGCAAGCTGCAGTAAAAACCTATTGTCTTCTCTTGTGTCCTATACATTTATCCTGTTTGTATTTGGTCCTAAACAGAAATAATTATATAGAAATAAATTAACCTTCTGTGTGTCTTGGAATTTAGCAACCTACATTGTAAGTCCAGTGAGATTCCATAGCAGCAAAAGATTTTGACACAACTGCCTTGAGACCCTATGGGAAAAGCTAAAACTACATTTTCTTTTTTAAAGATTAAAAAGAAGAGGAAATATGTTTAAAAGTTCGTTTTCTTAAATGGGTATCTAGACCCATGTGAGAAAGAAGAGACTACTTCAGCTGAAATGTGAGTGGCAGTAGCAGGTACACTCGTGAGGTGGTGGAGGCAAGAGGCACGAGGCTGCTTTTGGTGATGATATACTCAGTGGGGAAAACAAACAGCTGCGAGTGGGTTTAAAGTAGAAAAACAGTGTGACTTCCTCCACACCTGGTATGCAGGGGGTGTGCAGAACCAGGACAGCTTGTGCATCTAGGGGCAGGGAGGTCAGGGAAAAAAGCATTCAGCAGGACAGAAAAACAGTTTGCTACACACACTAGAACCCTCTTTTTGCCATGCCCAGCATCCCTGATGGCAGCTTCCACCATACTGAGGGATGTGGTGCTACACAGCATTAAGCCTTGCTGAGGGCTGCAGGCCAATGTGCCTGCCCACAGCAGCCGTGCCTGCACAGGCAACCTGAACACCGGCCTGATGCTGATGCTAGGCCTTTTTTTTACTAGCTGCCTCTCCCCAGCAATGGTGCCTTTGGTCAAGTTTTGATGAGTTCACCAGAATCTGGGAGTGCTCATTACTAATATAAATATGTCCGCTTTTGTTGTGGAGACCAAATTTGAATGTAAATGTCCTTGTTGAAGAAGGAACTCTGCTTAAAGACATTCGTAAGATACAGCTGCCTGTTCCATAAATAATTTTGCTGGTCTGGTTCAGCTGACCTGATAAGAAAGAAGATTAGGGCTGTGCTCCATCTTTGTAGATGGGACCACGTGCCTCTGCACACAAGGTAGTCCTTTGGACATGCCGTGTCCACAACGTGCCAGCAGAGAAGCCAGGGCCAGGTCTGCCATGGCCCAGACAGAGCAGCTGGGGTGCAGGAGCTCAGCCCCTCAACTGTCACTTGCCACTGTCTCCCCCCAGATCCCAGCAGTAGTGAATTTACCTGATGAGATTGGCCAGGCTGTGGAGGTGACACCCAGTTCCCAAAATGACTGCAAGGAGCCATCTCTAGACACCTCTGCTCTCCCTTACCACTGCCCCTGCACACCACCTGTCCCCATAGTGCCTCCTGTCCCCACAACTGCCCTGTCCCCTGACCAGCCTCCAGGAGGGGGCCTGAAAAAGCCAGACACATGCTGGGTTTCACTTCAGTGTCCTGGGTGCATGATGCTGCCCACCGGCAGTGCCTGATGACCCTCCACAGCCCTGCAGCAAGGCAGGAATGCTGACAGGCCTTTAGCTGTTGCTAAACAAATGTTTGGTTTCAATGCAAATGCTTGGTTTCAATAGCTGAAATGGTTGAATGCTAGCTAAAATCAGTGACCAAAGACAGGGATAAAACAACAAGCTATCAAGTGATTAAATCCTGGAGACTAAAGTGGGGCTGCAGCCACCTAGGATAAACCATCAGGGCCCAACAAAGAGTGTTTTCTGCTGGTGGCAGTGGCATTAGCCCTACCATGCCACATGCCACACTCTCCCAAAACAGACCCTGACCCGGGGTCATGGCTTCGGGCTGATATTTCCATAGGGGTCTCTCTTTGCTTCCCCCTGCCACTTCTCCATCTCCATCCCACAGCTGTGCCTCACCACCAGGTGTAACAGCTTGGGCACCCCACCTGCCAGCCCCAGAACTTCCCACATTGCCCACAGCCAGCACTGTTCTTCACTTTTAGCAAGCTCCAGCTTTTCAGTGTTGCAACAATATTAGCTGAGTCTACCGGAGAGACTCATGATCTGAAAAAAGGGGCAGGTTTTATTATAGTTGTCTGTCCTTTCCTCATAAAAAACACTGCTTTTTCATCTTCTGGCTACACTGCTTGTCAAGCTGCTGGTCAGGAAGTGAAGAAAATGGCTATTCGTTTAGATGTCAGAGAAGGTGTCATGGCTGTCAAACATGCCGGTAATTCAGCATCATGGGGAGCTGTGGGGTGGCTGCAAAAACGTGGATGCATTGTTCCAAAAGTAATACCCCGGCAGTGAAAAGAGATTTAAATGTTAAATTGAGTTAATTTACATTGAGTTAATCACTGTAGAACTGCCACATGCACTCACCCGGCTTTGTCCCGGCTTTGTCCTTGGTCCCAATCCTCATCTGTTGCTGCGCACTGAGGATCTGCACTGAGGTCAGGGATTTCCCAGACAGAAATGCAAGCATCACAGAGCATCTGCACAGGGTCACATCCATCTGCTGTGTTTGCGCACTTACTCTGTGTACTTGCTCTACTATGAGTCAGACCTAAGCAGTAAATCCAGCATGCCAGCATATATGCAACTACTGTGCATGCAGAGATTATCTGTGCTTCATGTGTGCACTTGCAGTGATATATAATCTGGATGATGAAAACATGCAGATGTTCCTGACCAACATTCAGATATCTAGATTATCATTACATAGCTCAGAAAGTGTGAAGGGACCTGGATGAGAGGATATGAGAAAATTATACTCGGTTAAAGGCTCTTTTTCCATGCCTTAGCTGTGTAGAAAGGACTTTGGAAATACTAATAGGGCCTGCAGAAATTTCCTCAGTAGAAGTCTAATCGCACATTGCAATCAGACATACAGCTACTCCTGAGCAAATGCTTCATGCCTTAGCTGACATGTGGCACTGAGCTAATACAAGTTGTGCAATTACCCACCAAATGGTTATCACTGAAGCGATAGCTTGTACAGTAGCAGCTTTCCAATAATGGAAAACAGAATCAGAGACCCTTACATCAGCTGTGTAACTGTTTAAAATGCATTTCTACTACATTCTAGGATGGGTTATATTTACACCACAGAAACAGATAACAAACATGATTTTGTAAAAGTAAAATTAATATGATTTATTACTTTGCCTACAAAAATGTGATTTATATTTGTAAAAGTTTCTGAAATACATAAAGACAGAAAAACTGGATAAAAAGAATAAATGTGCCTTTTTAATGGTTGCTTATTGACCATCATTAATGAATAAGCTCAGAAACAAGATTTTAGCCCTGGAGTGTTGGACATGAAAGTTAATTATCACTTTGCAACCTCTTAAATATGTCTGTAATATCCAAACAATCAGGATACAGTGATCTCTGTATAAGATAGCATATAGCAAATGTTCCTCTCCCATGCCTCTTCGCATGCTGATCAAATGACGCTTGCTGTCCTGGAACTATATTTCATCCACATGTTCTCTCCATCCTCATCCACTCTTCCCAAGAACAACAACAGAGAGCTCTGCATGGGTATATTAACAGTGAGAAAGTGATGACTGGTTACATGAGTCTGGACTTGCTCAGGCTCACAGCTGGCCAAACAAACCTCCCTGCATGCTGTAGCCCGCTCTTCTATTGATGAATCACAGCAGCAATTGAAGCATTTAAAAGCAATAAACTAGTTTCTACTAGCCTGCGATTCAACCTGCTGTTTTAAGGGGGATATGTTGTAGTGGGTAAAGTAGCTTGAGCCCTTCTCATTTCCTTAGCTCTGGCTGGTATCGGCTGGTGTGTATTTGCAGCTACAGGGCTGACAAGCTTTCCCATTTCTGTTGGGACTGCACCCTGCATATATTTTCCTCTTCAGCAGGCACAGAACTTGCTGACTGATTTGAAACAACTTTGACAACTCTCAAATATATTGTTCCTTCAAAGTTCCTGCAAGGGTCACAAGAACAGACAGCTATTGGATGGATTTATAAGTGAAGCTTAGACCTTGAGAATCTGTGGATATAATCTGCAGAAAGAAAGAGACAGATACAAGCAATGAGTACAAAGCATGAAATCAGGTTTCTTACAGGGTTCTGTCTATTGGTTGATTTAACAGACCAGTATTAGGATGTTTTGCTCCCTCTGACGATTCCCCTACACTTTTTCCCCTTACAACTCCCCTTCAGAATAATGTTCCAGCAGTGTTTTATTCTTATATCGAATTTGATTCAAATCAACAAGTAGTTCGAAAAGCTAAGAGGAAAAAGAGCTACATATACAGACTCCTCACCAAGGTGTGTAAATAAAATGCTTAAAAAGTAGATGAAAGAACTATGGCAATAAATCTTGTTTCACAGCAAATATTTTTTTTATTATTATTTTTTATTTTTTGCTGCTGCTCATAGAATAACTTAATTTATGACAAAAAGTTTTATAAAAGCCCGTGTGTTTCTCATGGGCAGTTTACAAAAGTAACTATATACTGAAAATAGTTGTAGTTTTCTTCTTTGGCTTGTTTCTCTTTTATCTGGCTAGAAATTTCAGGTTCACCAAAGGACTAACATGCAGAAGCTAGTTTTTTTGTTTGTTTGTTTGTGTTTGTTTTTGTTTGTTTGTTTGTTTGTTTGTTTCAAGTCTCCTGATGCAGAATTGTTGGTCCTGGGTGGACTCCTCATACAGTGCAGAGGAGCATTGTATGCCACAGGGGATAAAAGAGGAGGGTAGACAAGCTGTTGGGACACTGCTAAGAAGGGGTTAAAACTCCATTATTTTACTTCTCCTTGAAGGCAGGTATCTCAGTACTTTCACTCAGTATTCCCAGGCCTTAATTTACATGAGAAAGAACATATCTGTATACCCTTCCTTCCAATACATTGAGTGGGCATTACAGTTTTCTTCAAAACCATGACTGCTGTTTGTGTTTACATGCTTGTAAAAAGTGTTGGTATCTAGAGTGCTCAAGGGAATGTCAAAAGCAAGGATTTTTCCCTGGAAATGTGGGGTTTAAATTCCGTGAAGGAAAAAAAAAAAAAAAAAAAAGGTGAATATACCTGTGTAAACAGACCATAACTCAGTTAGGCATTTTCTCCCTTTGCCAGATACATAAAGGCCTTCTTTTTCACCAGCTATGTTTTGAAAGCTGCCATTGCATTTTGAATCTAGTATGCTCAGTTTGGAGCTTCCAAGAAAACCTGCTACATTAGGTTGTTAAGGGGAGACAAACAGAAAAAAATACATTTTACTGATCCTGATGGGGAAGAGAAATGAGGCAAGCCTCAAGCTACTTGTCGCTGCCAGTCTGGGGGACTTCCATGAGCAGTTCAGGCACTACTAGGACAGAGCAGTGGCTGGGATGAACTTTCTGGGGCTTTTTTAAAAATGTTTAACTCAGGTAGTGATGTCCTTTTATTGGCCCAAGAGAATTGTTTGAATTCCTGCATGTCCCAAAGACTACAGTTATACTAAATGTCTCTGTTCTTGGGAGAAAAAGCCATGCACTGGGTGTAAAGAGAAGTATTTGCACCCTGAAGGCCCTGGGACAAAGGAATTTGAGCCTGCAACCTTCACCTTTTGCTGAAGCTAAAGGCAATACCCCTCAAGTTTCTTAGCAATCTATCCTAGAATAAAATGCTTTTCCAACCTCAAATCTGTCTGTTAGCATCACCCTGATCTTGAGGGGAAGATATACAAAGCAGAACACCAGTACTATGTACTGCCTTCCATCAGTGGTCTGATGCCACCACTGTCTTGTTTCCAGGTGGTTGCCAATATCTGATACTTCAGAAAGTACTAGGTGAGTAGGGGAAGTAACCAAAATATATCTAGAAGGGAGAAAGAAGGAATTCTTTCATAGCCCAAAGGCGAACATGTGAGCTCCTCAGGACTGATTTCAGCCTGTGATTTGGAGTCTCCCACTGAAGGACATTTATCAGCAATTGGATCTTGTCATGCCTTTATCAGTAGAAGTTTAAAAGCTCTCTACTCCCAGATGTCCATCCTGTATGCTATCACTTGTACAAAACATGTGAATCACCTTGGGCTTTTTTTTTTTTTTTTTTTTTAAAGTGAATAAATTACGGTCCTTTTGCTTCCACCACTATGCTTTCCTTGGCAGCCCACAGGAGAGCTTTCTGGCTCCCCTTTGAAATGTCTGTAGTATTTCCTCAGCCTCTCTTTAGGAGTGAGGACCAGAAACGCATGCCAGCTTCTGGCAGTGGTTAACTAATGCCATACACAGAGGTAAGCTCACATCTCCATTTCTGCTTTCTAAACAACTTTTGACAGAGCATTTCACTAAGCATTTATTAAAGGTAAAAGCAATAGTGCTCCTGCAGGTAAACCTCTGCCTTCAGGGAGCAAGTCCAGGCCATTCCTCAGGAAGGCACTTGTATTTACTCACCCAGGATTCAGGAAGGTTTGGCTCAGGCCTCTTGAGCAACCTTAAGAAGCGAATTTGACCTTTCTGTGCTGCCATCATTCTTACCTCAGCCCTGTTTCTGTAAGACATGTACAATACTTGTGCTGCACTGGTCCCACCTGCTTTATCTACAGGCACATCTGCACAGATGGTAGCTCTGCCTGCGCTCTGACTCAGACGAGTGAAAGCCTTCTCCAGGCTAGAAGCTGTTTGGACGTGTTACTGAAGGCTGTGCCCATGCTAATGCTTCCTGCTTCCCCACAGAGAAATTAGGCATGTTGAGTTATTGAATTTACTGTTGTGGGTCTCGTCAAGCATAAAAATCACCAGCGCTCTCCAGCATGGAGAGCTCCGGTGCCAAAGCAGTCTCAGGTCTCACATTTCTCTTGTCCAGCATCTAAGCGTGCCCTGCATGCACTCAGCCTACTTTCCTCTCTCCCTCCCCCATCCTCCTGAACAGCACGCACGAGGGTTGCATTACTGCAGACAGATCAAGATCTTAAAACCAAACAGGCTGTAACGAACCCCATGCTAGGGAAGTAAGTGTTTCATTTTCCCAGGAGCTGGGAACATGCTGTCCTCATGCCGCTGCTCAGGAATGCCATTGTGACACAGCATCATGATCCTTTCTGGTGACACGGGGATTCCTCGGCCACACATCTTTGGATTGGGTGTCCCCTGCATGCCTGGCTGCCCCAAGGGCTCTCCTGAGAGCCACAGCTCCAGTAATGGCAAAATAGCAAATCTCTCATATGTTGTCTATGCAAGCTTCTACCCCGCAGTGAGTTTAGGGTGAAGTAGTGTGTATACTCAGTCTATAAAATTACAATAAATTACATGCTGCACTGGCAGTGTTGTGGATTCATTGCATCTGGGTAATAAATGATTATCTTTGGTGGGGATTGCTAAAAGTAATCAGTGTTGCTCCTAAACCCTTTGCTCTTACAAACAATAAATAATAACAGCAGGAACTGCAAGCTTCCTTCTCCCCACATTACCAATAGTGGTGGAACAATGTTAATATATGACTTTACCTTTACTAATATTGAAATGATAACTGAGTTTCCTGACACACCTGACTTAAAATAGCCATAGGAGATTCATGAAAATCTTTCAAAGTGTGGGTATATCTGGGCACTTTAACTGCACATAAGTAGCAATCATGCAATGTTTCCTATAACTTGCTGTGACTTCCCTGCACTCTCATGCTGGCTACTGAGCCTGTGACAACATTACAGAAGGGTTATGTCTCTCTAGCAGAGGTGATGGCAATTAAAGTCGGTAAACTGGTAAAAGAACACATAAACTAATAAAATTCTGTGGAGAAGGTTTTGGTATTGTTCCTGAATCATGGCCTAAACTCATTTATTCTTCTGTTTACCGGTTTAGTCATTTATTTGTAAGGTTTATGTCTGGGATTTTCATGGTTAATTCCTCTGAGCAGTCAGCCACCAGGCTTGTTGTTGTAAATATGAGTCTAGACATAATTTAGATTAATTCACCCTAATGATGCTGTCAGTATGAATATATTACAATGCAAGTGCATAATATGCAGTTGAAATGCAAACTCCAAACGGGCTTTGCTGTGACCTGCCTTGCTGTGCCTTAACATACTGTAATTATTCTAGTAGGAAAAGTAATGGGGAACATGTTCTTCCTTTAGTTACTAGGGGAAGCCTTTGCAGAGGTGTGTGGAGTTTAATGAACTCCAGACCATATTTATTCAAGGGCTGATCCTACAGTGTTGTCTGGTTTCCCTTTAACAACCATTGCTCCTCTTTTACTCCTCTTTTCAAAAGGATTACTGAGAAAAAGCTGTGAATATCTTTTTGGTGCTCATCTTCATTGGGTGCTCAAGCAACAATTAAGCTGTGGCCACTGTCTTTCTGCACAGGTAGCACAGTCTGAGAGACTGCTGGGCTTCCTATCCCAAACTTTTCTTTCTTTCTTTGTTTATTTATTTATTTATTGCTACTTATAACTTATCCCTTGATGCTTAGCTTGCAAACAGCATGCAGGAAACAATTACTTTAGAAGGCATCCCATCATGGTATATTTAAATGTAACTGAACAGAAACATTTCTAATATCTCTTTATATGATAATTACATAAAATTCTCTGTATAGGGTCTAAATATCTTTATCAAACCAGCTTGAATATGTCTATGGCTTGTGCACAGGCTGTTCCCATCTAAAGAGAATTTAATTGGCATACAACTGGAGACTATAGTCAAACTGCCACATGTGCAAGACACACTTATGACTGAGCAGGAGACAATTAAAACCCTTTGTAGCAAGAGAGAATGGGAATTTCTAGAAGCTGTTGCCCAAGGCAGTTGGCCACATGGCAAACCATGGCCAAAGCCAAGGAACGTGGTCTCAGAGGCTTCCTTGTACCTATTGAAAGCTGTTGCACCAGAGACTAGAAGAAAACAAATGGTAAGATAAGCCCAGTCACCTTCATCTGGGATGGAAGAACAGAGCTTCTTATAGCAAGAACTCACAGGAAAGCAATCCTGGAAACAGGGGTCAGGGAAAGTGCCGGCTGCTCTTAGCTTCTACTGCGCTTAAGGGAATATGTTTGCTGGCAATGACTGGGATTGCAATGAAGGGAAATGTCTGATTTATGAAGCTATTTTATACTCATAACAAAAACAATTCTTACAGAATGTTAGCTAGTTTATCAGACTACTTGGCTGATATGGGTGTGTAGACGTACATATATATGTAGGTATGGATGTGTATCTATGCTGACTCTGCTGCATTTTTGCTTTGATTTGATTCTCCAGGCTATCCCAGGAGATGTTCAGTTCTCTCCAATACCTCCTCAGTCACTGGAAGATGTGGCTGCTTGGCATCTCTGAGGACTGATGAACTGAAGCTCTCAGCCCACTCTTGTCCATACAACATATCCTGTCATAGAGTGAAAAGTTTTAATACTTAGCTACCCACTTGGGAGACAGACAAATTTAGAATTTCAGAGTAAATGAATCTGAGGAACATAACAAGTTAGATAATGAGCTCTAGGCCACACAAGATCTCTGTACTAGATAGAGACAAATAACCTAGAATTTAAGAATCTCATACTTTGACCAATACCCTTTAAATATCTTTATAGAAAGCGTATGATTTAAAAGGTGTGGAGGTTAAAGAAGGAACAAGTCTAGCCTTTCCCGGGAGGGCTTCTCAAAAATTATCTCTCTTGGAAAGAGCAAAGAAACCTGTTCCAAATTTAATCTGATGACACCAAATCACTACTGGGTTGGTTTGCAGGTATAAATCTACATAAGCACTGAATGCCAACCCTGCAGTACTGCAAACAGACCTCTCACATGCCTACATAAAACCCTGCAAGTAAAAGAGTTACTTTCCTCAGAACATTTTGTAAACCATTAATCTAGTTTATCCTTGCATGAGCAGTTAGTCTTACAAATGCTTTTCCCCTCACCTTTCCAGCAACAAACAAATCACCCTATTAACTAGCTAGCTTTAGGTGTATGAAAGACATAGGCTCAAAAGCATTACTTAATTTTGTATAATTCTCTTCATGTTTTCATTCCAAGAATTTCAGTGATTGTGGAACAGTACCATAACGAGTGTACAAGAAAGTCTACAGGAAGTCAATAAGCTATATGATTATGCATGACATTATACATGACATGAGAGCTTGGTCCAATCAGATTACCACAGTGCCATTTGGTCATAAGTTCCTTGTTCTGTTTTTAGAGACATGGAGCACTATCATAGTCTAAATCCTTCAGATATCATGGTCTAAATCCCATAGATCCCTTCTGAGCAATTATTTCAGGTAAACATGTTTTAGCATAAAATATCATAAAAGCCTTCTTTGGTTCAAGTTGAAAACTAATGAATTTATTGGGGGTGCTTACTAACAGGATGAGGTGCAGGGATCCATGGGGTCCAGGAAATGAACTATAATCAGCTTTTTTGTTTGTTTGTTTTGGTTTGTTTTGTTTGTTTTGTAACTGTGCAAACCCTTTCTCATCAAATTCAGGTTTGCACAGAAGGAAAAGAAATGGAATCAATTACCTTTAAATTAAAAGTGGTGGGTTTTTTAGTCACCACTTCTTTTTAAGGTCTCAGACACTGGGCAAATAGTATCAGAAGTAAAGTTTTCACTCAATTTATTTTCTAGGTATTTCTTTCACTCAGACCATTCTATAATCAAATAAAATAAAACTTATAAACTTTGGTCCTTCTTGCAGCTATGGGATTACTGAACATTGAGCTCAAAGATATTTTTACAAGAACAAGTTTTCCAGGGCTCTTTCTGCTGCTCTCTCCTCTCACAAGACACTTGACAGAATAATGATCAACTATTACAATAGATCAGATGGACACTCAGTCATCACTGTGCACACCTCTCTGCACGCCAGCTCAATAGCAAAGATGCTGGCAAGCAGCAGTGGCAGCACCCTGCACGCAGGACAGGCTTCCATGGAGTTTGTTTCAGTTTGGACACTGAAAGGGTTAAAAACCATACTGAAATCTCTCCTGACTATCACAGGCAGTTAATCTTACTTTAAAAGAACACATTTCGCCTGTAGACATCACTGCCTGGGGGTGTGACTGAGCAGAACAAGAGTGGCCAGAGGGGCTTTGCTACAGCAGGCACAAGACGGGTGGCCCAGGGAAGGGCTGAAGCACCTGACTGTCGCCACACACCTCACCACTCCCCCCTGCAATGGAAATGAAGCCCCATCCCCCCTAACTGAATGCTGGGCAAGGCACTGTCAAAACACCCCCAGGCTTCAGTGAGATCAGGATTTCATTTGTCCTTCTGGAAGAAGAATAATGTAGTCCACTGCAGGGAATTGAGGCTGACGTCTCCAGGTTATGCTTTAGAGCCCCCCCCCCCCCCCAACAACCTGCCTTGTGCTGAACATGAGCTGTTTACACTCTGATGCCTGCAAAATCAACCTGAGTGTTACGGAGAGATTTCTTTCCCAAGAAGGTGATTACGAAATGTTTGCTAATTCTAGGAACTGTGTTAAATTGTTCCCAAAGAATATATCAGCATAAGGGCAGAGAGAGCTATTCCCAAAAAGTAACTAGGCTACTGGGGTTTGGTGTTTTTTTTGTTGTTGTTGTTGTTTGTTTGTTTGTCTTTTCTCCTTCTTGCTGAGCATCCTCCAGCAATATGCATTTACTTTAAATGTATTTTTCTGAATGCATTTGAATTGATTATTGTCAGTATACTTCTATCACAGGGAATTATGGCACATAATTATAACTCAAGCTGTGCTGCCTCACTGGATGCGGTCAGACAAGATGCAGATTTTATTCCCTAAGTGTAGGAGAATACAAGTATTTCCGTAGCAAAGCATTCATGTTTAAAAGAAAGTCTCCTTGAGTGTAAGTGTTTATAATTCCAAATTCCTTTAGAGCAAATATTTGTGTCTATAAAATTAATTTACAAAGGATGGGACAGGATGTGTGCAGAAAATAAAGGTCAAAACCATAAAAGTGAACTAAAAAGAATAAAACTAAAGTCCTTGAAGTACGGTATGTGATTGTTGTGCATGTATTACAGGTATGGGCCATTTGGAAGAAATAGCTATACCTGGGTGAATGTAAGCATGCAGTTCAGAAAATGCATGCAATGTAGGCTGCTATTTCCAAAGCTCATTGTGTATGTGTGTGTATGTGTGTGTGTGCACATGCATAAAGGAGAGGGAGAGGGAAAATGAGGGAGAGAGTGGGAGGAAGATAGGTAGAGAGACAGAATCCCCCCTCTTTTTTTTTTTTTTCCTCCCATCAAGATGATTATAGTGTCCTTAGAAAAGAGAGTGCTCTCCTAAAGATTTTCACTTCAAAGAAAAGTTCTCAGTGAAGGCTTATCCTCTCCTTCTCTCATTAGTAGGCAGAGAAGCCTTTAACATAATTGATAATCTAGCATAGAAAAGAAGAGGAGTGTATTTCTCTACCAAGTCAGGCAAAACATTTTAAAGGCATGTGACTGAAGTGAAAGAAGAAAAAGAAGCAGCAACACTTTAGAGGACTGTAAACATAGACATACAAATACCAATGCAACTCAGGTACTTCTGGCTGCTTAGTCTTATACCTCTATTGTAAGACTCCTGTGGCAGTTTCATTTCTGGCATCAGTGTCTCTGTTTTCTCCACGTTTTTTTTTTCTTTAAATCTACATTTTAATTCCCCAGATACACTGTGTATATGAGAGGGAAAATAACTGCTACCTGCCTGCATCTAGATGTTGATGATGGTTCATGCCCCAGGTGCTTCCAGACACCTGCACTTTGACACACCACCTACAACTGCAGGTGTGCACCTAGGCAAATCTCACATCTGCCAGTGCTTCTCCATAGAGTCTGGGCTGAATCCATCCTGCATCCTGAGTTTGTAAGATGCACATATGAGTGGCTGAAAAGAAATGACAAAAATGCTTAGCTCCCCAACCCAGTTTATACAGTCATGTCCAGCAGATCTCACTTCTGCATGCTTATGAATGAATGAGTCCTATTCCAAATTAAATGAATCCATGTTGAATAAATATTAGTATGGTTTTAATTATCCCATTCATTTAGGGCCAAGTCATAACCTAAAAGGTTCACTTTATTTAATACATCAGGGCCTGGAGAATGTCCACAGCCTTTCGAATCTTATCTCAGAGATGCCACTGGTCAATTTTTATTAATTTCTCCAAGTTACACTTGCTCTTTTCCTTTTGATATGCTCTGCAAATGGATTTTGTGGCAGCTTCCTTTTCAGTACTGAATATTTTACAAGTCTTTGGATTTAATTAGCTGCATTTCCATGTTATTACATCAAAGTAGAAGCTACTATTTAATGACAACAACAAAAATAAAGACTAAAGGAAGCCAAAAAAAAAAAAAAGTCCTCTATTTTTTTCTCTCCCTTAAAAGAAGACTCAGCTAGCACAAAGGGGAATTGCAGGTCCTTTTACTTCCAGAGCCAAGAGCACAAATAGGACAATGACGGTGACATAATGAGCAATTCTGTAAGCCTGGGAAACTATCATTCGGCTAGTTTGCATTACAAAAGAGTCAGTGTTACTTAATGGACAAATACGGGTTAAGAGATGCTAGGTCTGAAGCACTACTAATCTGCATCAAATATGAAATCAGCTGTCTACTGTTAAATGCCAAGTCTCCTGGCATACAGAAATACCTGAATATGGACAGATACTTCTCCCTGTTTTTCAATATCATCCTTGTGGTTGCCAAACTATATATGAACTGTAGAAATTTTACACAGCAGAAGAAAAGAACGAGGAAGGAGAAACAGATTTACTGCCTGTAGTAACATAGCAGATGTATGGAATGAACATTTATGAAAAAAAGAACTATATATATATGACAGAATTTTTACAATGCCACGTCTTATAAACATGCTGTCAACCCTAACCTATACTACCCCATCTTTTACAGCATTTTTGTCAGTCACCTCACAAATATAAACTATATACTTACAATTTTTATCACTTTCCCAGTTAGTATCAGAAAAGCTACCAGATGAGAACAGAAGAAACATCTGTTTTAGTCCAAATGCAAGGCTAGAAGGCTAGAAAAGGCACAAAAACAATGTGAAATGGACACATTAAGTGTTATTTAAGAAGGCTTTTACTGAATATGCTTTTTTGGTTTCTATGAATATAAGCAAACAAGCTTTATGTTTTAAATCCATTAGCAAAAAACATTTTCTTCCAGTTCAGTGTGGTACATAAGAATGCCTCAATATGAGTCATGCTAGAAGTCAGCTTGTCCACAGGAGAACTGCTGAGGTCTCTACCACTTAAATCTAGGGCTCAGAAGTAGTTGCCTCAGCACAATTGTGTATATTAATGAGCAATTGTTATTTAGTCTAAAAGAGGGAAATGTTACCTCTCTCCATTCACCACTCCTTTATTGTGGTAAATTATGGACACTTGACAGTTACCAAAATATTCCTGAAAGACTAATAAATTAAATTAAATTAAATTAACAAAATATAAATGTAAATCAAACCTTTTCTGAAGTTAATCAGGACACAGAAGAATCAGTGTATTTCAAGCCTGTGAAACTGAATAGTGGATCTGGAAGAATAATAATAATAGCTAAAAAATATATATATTTTTAAAATCATACCACATCAAAGGCATTTTCATTTGGAATGAATCAATTTCTGCAGAATTGCTATGCCTTACTTCACTTTTTACCTTTTGGCAACTTTTCCAAAAATGGGAGAATTTTAAAGGTATGATGCAGAGAGACAAAAAAGAAAATGCAATAACAGAGCAGAAATGTGATACAGGTGATATAAGATAAAATAAGGAAAGGAGAGCTGTTAAGTCCTTTCCTGCCCGAATAATTCAATACGACACAAGCACTGAAATGATGTGGATTTTTTTGCTTGCAACCAAAAACCAAAAACCCCTCAGAAAAGGTAACCATATCCCACAGCTGTCAAAAGCCCAAGCAGACCAAAGACAGAGAGACCCGTGGGAGAGGGTGAGAATCTTTTTCCAGCTGGAATGGCACCCAGGTTACAGGGTACTCACTGTCCCTGCTCCTTGACATGCCTGACTCCTCCTTCTGTCACAGAACCGCTGTCACCTGGAGCATTGCTTGCTGGGCAATGGCATGGGGAGGCCGTGCTGGAGTGCAGGTGATAGTTGGCATCTGTTCAGCAAGCAACGTGGAGACAGCAAGCAGTGGAGTCTGTCTGCATCTTGTTTTGTCTTTGCTGCTCACAGGGTAGTCACTCGCACCAAGCTCCCTTATTTGCTCTTACTTATAAACGTGACCTTCTCAGGGTTTGGCTCATAGTTGCTCGCATTGGATTTCCATAAAGCTGGGCAATGATCAAGACTTCATTTTTCATGTAGCTCCAGGGAGAGTGTGTAAAATTGACATTGAAGCTAAGTACACTAGATTAAAAGAAACAGCAGTGCATAATAAGTCCCAAGTCACCCTGTTGTAACATCAGAAGAACAGACTGAAAACAAGAAATTTTTCAGCAGTGCTTTATGGCTCAATATTTATCATCACAAAATGGTATTTCATGCATAATGACAGGAAGTAGCCAAACATTAGAATATTTCAAGCACGTATAGAATTTTGATTCCATGAAGCATAACATAAAATAACTGTTCTGGATGAAGCCTGAGCAGTTGATGATATTTTTTACTATTGTTTTTGTGATCCATATGGCTCCTGCTCACCCTTATGTCTGGATCTATATTGGGTAGCAAAGTGCCTTTGGATTATGAGATTGACCTGACCCTCTTTGACTCCAGTTTTGGATGCATGCTCCTAAGTTTGGTGAGTTAGGTTTAATCTTTAATTAAGGACACCTTGTATTCTAGATAATAATTTAGCATTAAGCTGAGATATACCAAGCCTTTTTAACCCTTGATGTTGTGGCTCAGAGGAGACAGTACTGAGCAAAGGCCAGAAATACAAATTCCAAAATTCAGGGGTAGAAGTTAGATGGCAACTTCCAGTCAAAACCCTTTGTTTGCACATATCTTGGATAGACAGCCTTGCATACTGGTGTACAGATGTGTATGCTAAGCTTCTAACAGCTCCCATGCATCTACAAGTATGAAATCATTTTCTTATGTCTAACGTAACATCAAGGCCATGACAAAAGGTTGTGTGAAAGAGACATCTGTCCTGAGACATCTGAAAGAGACATCTGAGACAGCTTAAGTGTACGGGTACAAAATCTCCTCTCCCACTACAGCAAGCTGGCTGGCTAGAGGTGGACCTTGGTACTTACTGCTCACTGTAAGGCCACAAAGGTGAAGATACCATACCTTTGGAATCAGTTATTAATGTGTTACTGCTGACTGGGCTGCTAAATTATTACCTTTTAAAACTCTGCCATGGAGATGTCAGTGTAGCTGCATATTTACCTTGCACTCAGTTTCATCCCAATAAGATAAGTGTCAACGTATTTTTGTTGTCTTTTCCTGAATTCCTACCTAGTGGGACAGGGAGTATTAAAACCAGCAATCGTGGAGATGTGGAAGACAGAACATTTTTGGGGAACAAACTGGATGCTTGTAAACTGAAGAAGCTGCTGTGGTGCCTCTTTCTAGGAAACAGTATATTGAAAACATCAGCCATTTTACATGGGGCTGTTCCATTTCTTAGACATTCAGTTAAGAATACAGTGTGTTTGAAATCCACAGAGTATTCAAGATAGTCCTGAAACCCTTTACAGTCCATCAAAAAAATATCCCAGATGGTTGTTCTTCTAAGGACAGATTGGGCAATGATTTGTCTGAAGAGAGAGAGCATTTCTATTGCTCGGGAATGACCTGTGGGGAGATCTGAAAGGTTATTTAGTGAGTATAAGTATTCTAGCTTAAATGCTACATACCTCTAATTCAAGTCTGCCCACATCCTGCAGAAAACTCAATCAGATTTGACCATTTTCTGATTAAGTCTGAGGCTTAATCCACTATGGATGAAAAAAAATTGAAACCTTGGCCAAAGAGCTAGGTTGATGCAGTTAATTGTAAGCAATGGTAGGCTCTTTCAGTGAGAGACAAAGCAGCACTGGCAACTCTTTGTTCTTGGTAGGGTGAACAGCTGATGATTTGAAGTCTTTGTTCCTTTGTTTGTTAGATGTCTGAGGGGGTCAGAGTCTGCCCTAAGAGTACTCTCGTGCAGTATTGTGTCATCTCAGTCATCCTGCTAAGCTTGCATGTGAGTCTTACTTAATTAATAAATGGCAGATATGTATCAGTATGCTAATGATTCCTGGCTCTGCATGTCCATCTCCTCTGACCCTTGCCACACAATGACATAAACGACATGGTGTCTGCACAGATTTGGTGCCTGCCCCATGAGCAGTAACTGGCTAAGCCCCCCTCTAGCTACAATAAGAGAGAAAAGTTCCATTGTTGATGGGAGAACTGGCAACAGTTCCCCTGTGCTACTGGTCTGGAGGCACCAGCCTTTTGCATTTAGTGTCTGGTCTTGCAGTGCCTGAACATACAAGGAGGACCTTTCTGTCTGCTGCTGGTGAAAAGGGTACAACACCTTCTTGCAGTCACATTGGATACATCTGCATGGGATCCAGGGTAATTGCTTTGTCTGCAGTTTGAATGAACCAAAACCTGAGAAGCCAGGACCTCAAGCTCAAAGCTGTTACATCTCAGCATCTACCGGCCTGTAACTGTGAATGCACTTGTGTTTTGCCTCAACACACAGTGCAGGTATTGCCTCATCTACCAAAAGCCTTAGTCACTTTGGGAACAGGCTGTTATCATGCTCACAACAAAAACCTGCCACCTAATCCCCTGGGAAATTGAAGCTGATACAGCAGATAGCTGCCTTTGACTCAGAAGTCTTGGTAGAGGTGCTTTGACGCTTAGGTTTGTTTGATGATAAAGATGATAAAGGGTAAAGGTTAAGGATTTGCTTTTATCATGTAGTCCTTGCACTGATTTCAGAGCTGTTACTGGAAAAAACATTCTCTTTGGCCATGATGACAACATAGTATTAACTAAAGATGTACAACTTAGCAGGGAGTAGTTGAGAAGCTACCTCCATCGATATTATTTAAAAAAAAATCTGTTTGAACATGCCCAAGCCCAGATTTGCTGCCCTCCTAAATACAGTATGAATTTTAACATTCCTCTTGGCATTTGAGAGGATGCAGGTCAAAAAAGTAATGTATTAAGCATTTTTATGTAGGGAACTCAGTCAATTATTTGTGGTTTTGAATTAATTTATTTATCATCAAAAGAACTGCATTTAAAAAAAAGATCATGAAAGCAACAATGGAAATATATAACAGAAAATTAGAGGATTTGCACATGAAATGAACACTGATGGGTCAGCTGTCTGTCACTGGGTGATAATGAAAGCCCCCAAATCATACAACAGCTATTTATAAAATGTGATAAGGTCAATAAGAAAAAAAAAAAAAAAAAAAAAAAAAAAAAAAAACATTAAACATTAGAAACTTATATCTGTCTGAAAAGACATGGTGAAAAATATGTCACAAAATAAGCAATTTGCAATTTTGCAAATATTTCACAATGCTGACATTGTCTTATGACTCCTAACTAAATCCAGCAGTACGGTATGCTGAGATATTCAAATGCTGCCATTTGTATAAGAGCTGAATGCAAAGCAGTTTTCTGATATACAGGAATTTTTGAGATTTCAAAGCTGAATGGACAAAGAGAAAAAATTGAAATTCTGCGTGATGTCACAATAATAATTAAAAAATGGTTGCTGCAATCCAAATATTTTTTTTCCTGATGATTTATTTAAACCTTTTTCATGGTGCATTAATAAAAATTGCTCAAGAAAAAAAAAATAATAATTTTATGTCACAGAAAACTTTTTCTTTAAAGAATCAGAAAGAGTTATTTTGACAATTTGGAATTAATTTATCCCAAGACTTACTAAAATCAACTCTTTTCTGTGAATAGTTTCAGTTCTGACATATGGAATTCTGTAATGAAAAGTGCTTTTACTGAAAATGCTTTAATTACTTTTACCTTTCTTTCTTTCAATGGTTTTCATGGCAGTGTCTGACTTATAACATTCTAACATAATAAGAATTCTCTTTAGATTCCTAAAGAATTATCTGAATAATTTTCCATGTTAATTTGGTTTATGATAGGTTACAATAAATTTGTTAATCATATTTTTTTCCAGTATCTTCAGACATCTCTGTATTTTTGATCAAGAATACAATTTGACATAATCAATTATGGGATGTGCCTCAGCACTAATGTTAATTGTTAATGGGTATTTTTGACATTATCTGAACCAAGACATTTGTTATAACTGATCAAAGGAGTTTTTTTAGACTACCTCAAACTGTATGAAATACTGAGACATTCATGTAGATGTTTCTACTATGAATTCAGATTTTATGAATACATAATTTTTGGAATTGCATGGAGGAAAATTATAAGGTTCCTGAAAAACCTGCATAGTAAAAGTAAAAAAATGCAAAACATAAGAAAGAAGTTCAAAGACAGATTGTTGGTTGCACCAGATTCCCAGCATTGAGATTTTCAGAAGATGGCATATCTTATATAGGAATAAACAGACTTTTAGAAGTACTGGTTTCTCCAGCTGACAACACTGAGATCTAAAATAGTGACACATCTTTTTCAGTACTGTGCTCAAATATACAGAAGCGAATGCCTGTGTCACATGGGAGACTCGTAACATGAGCAGTGAAACATATCTTCCACAGGCTACCTAGCCATTAATGTTTATGGAATGTAAGCAGAAGAAAAGCTTCTAAATTATCCAGGTTAAAATGGTTCCATATTTTCACGTCAATGCAGTAGTTTTTATATGCAAATGTGTGTCACATAAAAATTCATTAGTAATGCTAGCTAGATGCTAAAGAGTATTACTACCACTGCCTACAACTGTTACTCAGAAAAATGCAAGTCGTGTTGTGGAGTGGTTAATATGGAAAGGCTGAAGTCATCTGGAAAAACAGCTTTGTTTGGGGGTGTTAATTATCTCATATATTGGAAATCTGTTTCATTTCACAAAAGTACGAACAGAAAGTGGCCTGACACATCTTCCTCACACTTCCAGACTACAGAGGGTTGATCTTGAGGAAATTAAATGTTTCTCACTTCAGTGATGTGAATATTCACCTCACAGTTCAATCCTGGTATCAATGACATGGAAGCAACACCTTCAGTCTCAGCAGCAAGTTTCCCAGATTTGGGCCACAATTACACAGTGTTGTCAGTACCTTCATGCCCGAATCTGTTGACGTTAATTGCAGGTGTTACTTCTTTCACCATGCTATGTGCAGCTACCTTGGGGTTTCTATGGAACTAGGGGTGTAGAGCTGCTCCCCTCTTGCACCACCTGATAACTAAAGGATTCCTTTGTAACAGGAGGGGACACTGAGAAAGTTAGAAAAGGAAGCACAGCTGGTAAACTTCCAGCTATTGCTATGATATATGGTTCTATAAAACTCTCAGATGTGTAGATACTGGACATAGAAATACAAGAAAATGAGATTCCAGCTACAAAGGGTTCAGAATTCTAAATCACTGTCTCACCCATGAAAACAGACAGGAGAAATCTCAACAACTGTAACATGCAAAGTTACATCGATAACCACATTGTCAGTTGATCTTCATGGATGAGTGTGAAGCAAAATACATTACAGGAGGGAGAAAGTCACGAGGAACATGATTTATGCATTTAATTACCTTAGGAACCAGTTAATAAAGGTCTTTCCAATGATGTCTTTCCATTCCAGGTGTTCAGTGCAGACATGTTCACACTTTGTAGGCAATTACTAGACAAGCTCTAGAAGGAAGCAGCAGAAGCACCTTCTGCAAGGGAACTGTGGCTTTCTGTAAAAGCAAAAGTATTTGAGGACACATCAAATGCAGAGGTCTGCAGCACAAAGTAAAAAGCATGAGCTGATATTTCCCCTGGGACTCTGCACAGAACAATCAGGATTTACCAGGCTCTCCATAATGCTGCATTTCTGTTTGCTCTTCCACCTAAAGGAGAGTGTTTCTGTTGGATTTGTCTGGATTTTGAGAATCAGACAATATGAATCACAATTCTGGGAAGGCCTAAAGAAATTTGATTGCACAATGCTAGTCAAGGAATGTAAAAAGAAAAACTACTGCAGACATGGACACAGTCTGAAAAAGCAGCAGAAGCCTCTGAAAATGGAGACATTTTTCTGCCAGAACAATTATGGTGTAATCAAAATTTCATTATAAATGGAACTGCAATTCCCACATTGCACATATGAAACAATTAGTGACTTTAATTTGCTTTGCTATAAATGGAGGTTTGCAATAGCTGAGTTTCCTGTGAAGATAGAGTCAGGTAATTCAGTCATAATGGTACCTGATTTTTTTTTCAAATTGCCAGTACATAAATATTTTCTGATGCAAGCTTCTTTTGTCTTTAAGCCACCAAAAGCATTGTCATCTAGACAGCCAATTTATCTCCCTGAGAAATGGTCATGTGGACCCCACTGCTACTCAGCCCAAGGTCTTCCAAGCAGATAAAGACTGGCTGACAGACCTTGAGATACAGGGCAAAAACCAGCCAGCATTGCCACTCATTTTGCCCTTTTGCAGGGCTAACTGATGATTTAGACTAGTAGAGTGTGTGTCAGTGTTACTTACACTGTGCCTTGTAGAAATACCACTTGGAAACACTCCTACACAGACAGCTCATACCTTGGGTCTGACTGCAACAGGAGTCAGCAAAGATACAAGTTTGGGAGAGGAGCAACTGGGTAGGTCTTGGCTCTGTCTCCCCTACACAGCAGCCACTGTAACTGACCCTCATGTGGGCTGTTGCAATTTTTAAATGTTATGAGCTAATGTTAATAGGCTATTACCCCATGTCCCCCTCTCCAACCATCTGAAGGAGCAAATGAGTAATTGTGATTCATCTGATCCCTCTGAGGGATCAGGTTTCTTGGGAATATTTCTAAGTTGGTGCTGGTCCCATCGGAGTCTTTTCCTCACCTCTGTGCCAAACAGTCTTAAGCAAGCCCATTTTAGGTGGACTACATGATATCGACTTTGTACTTTTTGGAAATTTGTCTTGGCTTTGTACAGCGAGGCAGAGTGAAACAAAGGAATTTTGGGGCCCCAAATGAAATGCAGTTATTCGCTTGACTGTAGTAGCTGGAGAATATAACAGGAAAACCTCTCTTCTAGTTTAATTGTTTTTTGTTTGTTTGTTTGTTTAAATAAACAGAGGAAATTTTGCTACACTACAGGGAATGTGGAGGCACTGACCTAGAATTCACAGTGAAGAGGAATCAAGAGGGGGATGTCAAAAGGTACTCCCCAGTGGCCAGCTGAGTAGGGAGAAAGGACAGCAGAAGCTGAGTGCGCTAGTTGCTGATTTTTATTAGGGTGATAAATGCTGTTCATGCCGAATGGCTCCGTGGTGTGAGTGAAAAAGGTGACTAGGGCAGAAACATCACCCTGGGAAGCGAGCAGATGAGAACACTAGGTGATCTGCAGACAAAAATGTCCCCCGAAAAGTGAAGGGCAATGAGAGCACAGACCTAGCTACTGTAACAATCAGTGGATTTTTTTGGCCTGGGGGGATGGTTGCAATAATTCGTTTCTCAACCTGCTAGACAGAGAGAGCAGATTTCCACAGCATGAGTACTCAAGCATGCATGCTGAGCCCGCTGAGGAAAATGAACAGCATCTCCAGGTTGGACTTGTTTGTACATTCCCATAAAACTGTCCTTGACAGCACTGGCAAATGTCCTAGATAAGTGCATGTCCTAGCTGTGATTTTTTGTTTGATTTTGGACAAAAAACACACATTTAAATAAATCCATAGTAGAAAGCTTAGACTACCAAATCCATGCAAAACGTCAGCAGCCTCCACAGAGCTTGCTTATTTTAAACATCATCTAAAAAACATTAATGCTTCCATGCTCAAGGTGTCATTGGTGGGAATGGAGTCCAAGTCCTCTTTCAGTAGCTAGGTATTATTAACGATTTCAGTCCTATCTTCTCAAATAAAGTGGGCAGCTGCTAAACCTACACCCACCTCCCCTCCCCACCCAAAACATCACAGATCTCATTTAAATCTCTCACAGCTTGGACTTAATTACTGTCTGCTTGGGAACTGAATGGTTCACATAGACAGACCATCCATAAATCCCCACCCCTGGAAATGTCAGGACATGGCCTTATTCCAGAGTATAGCAGGGGAAATAAGTGTGATTGAAACAGTGAAATACACTCATGATAAGACCTTTATTTTGATTATAATATTATTATTTTTTTCTCATTTTAAAGGGGCTTTATATTCCTGCATGCCTCTTCCTACCTGGTGAACTCTGCCTGCTCATCCGTGGCTGCACACCCAGCAGCGTTTCCTTAGGAGCCAGGAAAATCCCAGCGACCCTGGCTGGTGTCACACAGATGCTGTGCAGAGCCACACGCGTGCACCAGACTGCGAGCTGTGGATGAATGGGAGGGAGCTGCAGGGGGAGCGGCACCGAGAGCTCATTCAGCCCCAGCACTGACTCCAGCAGACTGTGCTCTGAAGGAGCTGCTGTGGCTGCAGGGAGGCTTTGCTTTGTGAATGGATTCAAGGAATGCGAAAGAAGCCAGTTAAAATTATTGACTTGATAAGGTTTCCATGAAATTCAATTTTTTCCCCTAATGTTTTTTGTTCCCCTATCTTGAGAAACCTTACAGATCAATTAAGATGCAATCAGGGAATCTAATTAAGTGCCTGTGGTAATAACGATGACTTTCCTCTTTGCTGGCTTTTTTTTTTTTTTTTTTAGATTGGACTTTTCTGGGTAAAAAAATAGAGTCCTGGCATAAACAAAGCATCTCTGTCTATTCCAGTGAAATTTTGCTTACTTTAGAACGAGATCTCCTCTTCCTCTCTGCTTTGTGAATACTAGTTTTATTTTATTTCATGTATCATTTTGTTTTCATCCCTCTTCTAAGTAATACTCGAGGAAATGAGATGCCTGAAATAATCAAACAGCAAAAGTCAAGTATGCAAAAATTAAAAACCAGCTACCCACTTAGGCTATTTAGCTAAACTGACTGATCATGGTCACAGAAATTTTCACAGTTTGAATTCTGCTCAGGTCAGCAGCAAGCAAAACTCATTATTTTCTGGTGATTGTTTTGTGGCCTATAGGATATAGATAGATGTATTCTTCCCGTGGAATAGGTTTTATATCTCCAACTCTCTGTAGGCTAGAAATGGGAACTACATGTGGCCGCATAGATGGGGATTTCAGCTCACCTATGAAATATGGAACAATTGCTTCCAGGCCTGGAATGCTTTCAAACTATCAGACCTTCAGATTGCTTCTGATATTGTGTATGAACAAAAACTGTTGTAAGCCATTTTTAAGAAGTTTGAACAGCTGGAGAGCTGTTAGATTTTCTTTTCTATTCTGCCAGACACAGATTGCAAAGGACCGGTGTAGTCAATCAGTTCAGACAGAGACGAAGGGCTGGAGCTCTCTGATGGTGGCTAGCCCACTGCTCCAGCCATGCCATATTTCTGGGCAGCACTCTTCATTCTTGTTTGTTCAACTCTCGCAGCTGAGGAAATTCCCCTATTCCTTCCCTCTTCCTACAATGAATGTTATTTTGCATCAGGCGACTTTGTTAGGGTCCCACCATGGTTTAGTTTTTCCCTAAATAAAACCAAGTTTGAATATCACAAATCTTTGTCAGCGCTGAGAAGTGTCCCAGAAATACCTCAAAAGGAGAGGACAAGGCTGAAACACCCAGAGTGGACACACTGCTAGTTTTGAGAAAGCTTCCAAACATGCTTTTATTTCTTCACAACAGTTTTATTTACATTAATCTTTTATTGCTAGATATTATACCTCCAGCTCTAGTTTCTGGTATGTGAATGTGGTGATTGTATGTTGGGGCTGTTAGTGCATCTCTCACTTCCCTATTCGTGGAGCACAGGGGTGAACACAAATAGGATTTTGGGGATGAGTGCTGTGTGTTGGTGAGATAAAATAAAGAACAAATTAGATGTGGTGTAAGAGGGGTGCCCTCACCATGAGGTTTCAAGGTAGATGTGGACTAGGCTGGTAGCTAAAGGAGCAACTAAGCCCTAAGGCAGAGCTGAGATGAAAGCCATATGCAGACTCAACTGGTCTCATGTCTGGAGGTAGGTTAAGGGACTGGAAGGGTCAAATGTTCATTTTCTCCGTTCAGTTTTCATACACCCTGAGCCGTTCCAATGGTACACCAGGAAATAAGCTGTGTCATTCCCTGTTGGATACCCGCATCAAATATCAGGTCTGCAGTTGCTGGAAGCTACCCACTTCTCCCTGCCTGAAAAGGACAAGAGGGTAGGAAAGAAGCACTCACTAACTCTGAGGTCTAAGAACCAGTAGCTGACAGGAGATGCATGATAAATCATAGATCATAAATGATCTGCAACACAGGTTTTTGGGCCATGCCAGAGATGCAGGCAACATTGAAAGTACAGCAAAGAGAACCTTACCAAGGGTTGTGATACTAAAAGCCTGAGACTTCACATTCAACTTTTTCTTAGGCAAGGCTGTTATGCCTGTAGCTGATTACACTTCCTTCAGGAAGATCTGCAATGAAAAAATTTACCTGATCTCCTATGGGGGTGCCTCATTGGGATTTACGTATTACTGTGTGCTTTTCAACTCTCCAAAATTTTGCCACTAGGAAAATTCTGCATTACTTTCCTGACTGCCCTAATAAAAAACTTATTTTATCATTGGGTGAATATATGACAGTTTAATGGAAACTGCTAAAGGCTGTTAAAGCATGAAGTACCTGTAGGACTTCTTTAAAGTGCCTGGTACATCTGGCAGGCCACCAAGTTGATGAAAGCCTTTGGTCTTTCATGACAGTCACAATAAAGCACTGCTGAGGGGGTTGGCTTGGCTCAAGTTCTGATTTTCCTACTCAATTTTTATGCCTTTTGATTGCAGTTAAATGCAGTGAACATGGAGTTTTATGCTTATATCGGGTTTAATTATGAAGCCATGCTTTTGGCACCATAA